CAAAAAACTAAAAATAGAAATACCATTTGACCCAGGAATTCCACTTCTAGGAATTTACCCTAAGAATGCAACAGCCCAATTTGAAAAAGACATATGCACCCCTATGTTTATTGCAGCACTATTTACAATAGCCAAGAAATGGAAACAACCTAAGTGTCCATCAGTAGATGAATGGATAAAGAAGATGTGGTACATATACACAATGGAATATTATTTAGCCATAAGAACAAATCCTACCATTTGCAACAACATGGATGGAGCTAGAGGGGATTATGCTCAGTGAAATAAGCCAGGTGGAGAAAGACAAGTACCAAATGATTTCACTCATCTGTGGAGCATAAGAACAAAGCAAAAACTGAAAGAATAAAACAGCAGCAGACTCACAGAACCCAAGAATGGACTAACAGCTGCCAAAAGGAAAGGGACTGTGGGGTGGAGGAAGGGAGGGAGAAAGGGATAAGGGGCATTACGATTAGCACACATAATGTAGGGGGGCGGCACAGGGAAGGCTGTATAGCAGAGAAGACAAGTAGTAGTGACTCTATAGCATCTTACTACACTGATGGACAGTGACTGCAATGGGGTGTGTGGTGGGGACTTGATAATGGGGGGAATCTAGTTACCACAATGTTGCTCATGTAATTGTATATTAAAGATACCAAAAGAAAAAAAAAACAAAAAACAAAAAAAAAAGAAAGAAAAAAACATTTGCAGAAGGGCTGGCTCCACATACAGAAAGGTGGAGTTGAGGGTACCCCTAACTCTAGCAGGAATAGGCAAACTTTTTCAGTAAAGGGCCAGATAGTAAAAGTCTTAGGGGACCATATGGTCTTTGTCACACATTCTTCTTTTTGTTTGTTTGGTTTGGTTGTGTTTGTTTTTATTGTAAAATATGTATAACAAAATATACAAAAAATAAAATTTACCATTATAACCACTTTTAAGTGTGAGTTCTGTAGCATTAAGTACATTCACATAATTGTGCAACCATTAACCACAATCAGTCTCCAGAACTTTTTTCATCTTGTAAAACTGACTGTACCAGTTAAAAACTAACTCCTCATTCCACTTCTAACCTCTAGTCCCTCACAACTACCATTCTACTTTCTGTTTCTATGAATATGACTACCCTAGGAACCTCTTATAAAAGGAGTCATAATATTCATCCTTCTGTGACTGGCTTATTTCTCTTAGCATCATGTCTGCAAGTTACATCCATACTGTAGCATGTGTCAGAATGTCCTTCCATTTTAAAACTGAGTAAATCATCACATTTTGTTTATCCATTCATCTGTTAGTGGCCATGTGGGTTACTTCCACCTTTTGACTATCGTGAATAACGCAACTATGAACAAGGGTGTTCAAGTCCCTGCTTTCAATTCTTTGGGTATATACTCAATAAATGAAATTACTGAACCATATGGTAATTGTAATTTTTTGAGGAATCGCCATACTGTTTTCCACAGCAGCTGTACCTCCGGCAGTGCACAAGATTCCAATTTCTCCACATCCTTGTCAACCCTGGTTACTTCCTGTGTTTTGTTTTGTTTTGAATAGCAGTCATCCCAATGGGTGTGAAGCGTGTCTCTCTGTGGTTTTGATCTGCATTTATCTAATGACTAGCAGTATTGAGCTTCTTTTCATGTACTTATTGGCCATTTGTATATCTTCTCTGAAGAAATGTCTAAAGTCCTTTGCCCATTTTTAATGGATTTTGTCTTTTTATTGTTGTGTTTGCTTTTCATCATCCTTTACACATAGCTCATAGGCCATTAAAAAAACAGGTCATGGGCCATTTGACCCCAAAGCCAGAGCTTATCCAATTCCCTCAATTTACTTTTGAGGACAGTTAGGCCCTGAGAGAGACAGTCACTACCCCAGGTCCCCTGATTCTCTCAAGTCAAATTGTTACAGTGGTCTCTGTAGCCACTACTTCATTCACTCAACAAATATTTATTGAGAGCCTACTCTGTGCCAGTACAGAGAAAGGACTTCTACAGAAGTGAATGGACCAGATCTCAGAGCTAAGAGTACAGAGAGGAGTAAGGCATGAGACAAATAATCACACAAATGAATACATAATTGCAAACTGAAATAAGCCCTGGAAAGGAGGGGAGAACCAGCTTTGATGAAAGAGAGTAATAGGCAAGGCCTCTCTCAGGAAATGCCATTTAAGCTGAGTTCTGAAAGATAAGTAAAAGTAACCCAGGTTAACAGTAGGAGAGGAAGCACAGTCCTGGCAAGTGGGAAAGCATGTATGAAGAACTAAGACATTCTATTGAGTATTTGATTAAAAGTGCAACAGGGTTTTTTGAGAGTATCAAGATCATTCCATTTTTTGTGAGAAGAATAGACTGGAGGGTCACAACAGGTCAGAACAGAATAAGTTGGGAGTAGGGAAACAAGTTGGCAGGCTACTCTAACTGCTCAGATGGATGTTGGTGGTGACTTCAGCTGGCATAGTAGTAGTAGAGATGGAGATAAGTGAGCAGGTTTGAGAATTATTTAGGAGGTTGACTCATTAAGAACTTCTGACAGACTGGATGGCAAGAGTGAGAGGATAGGGAGGTATCAACAAAGACTCCAGGTTCCTAGCTTGAGAGGATAAATGATGGTGACATTTAATGAGATGGATTAGTTCAAGGAAGGAGCAGGATTGGAGAGAGAAGTTCAAGAATTCAATTTTGGACATAGTTAAGATTTAGAGCCCTGTGCAACACAAATGGAGAGATCCAGTAGACAGATAGATATGCAGATTTGGGATTCAGAAAAATGGTCTGAAGGAAAATTAAATTAGGGCTCATTACTACCACTGAGCTGTATGGTGTAGGACAGGGCCAGAGTGACAGTGGAAGGGGCACCAACCCGGGCTGGGCATCAGGGGATCTGGATTCTAGTCCCAATTCTGTCATAAGCCACCCTCTCTGAGTTCACGGGCACCATCAGTAACGTAAAGAGGCTGCCCAAGATCAGGTCTTCCTTAACCTTTTCTGGGGCAAGAATAACCTACTCTCCTCAAAACTGAACAAAAATATTACACATGATTTCAGGGATTAATTCAGTTCTTGGAGGCTTTCCGTGGACCCCAAAGTAAGAACTCCTAGACTCTATGACCAGACAACCAAAGTTTAGGAGGCCTTCCTTGTATATACTTTATGCACCTGTTGGCCCTCCAAGTGTCCCTAGAGAATATGACAGGCACTGAAAAAAGGTCGGAGGACACAGGACTTAGGTCTCCCTTGTTCTCCACCAAAAAGTATCCATTACCCTGAAGCTAGCCAGTGTATCCAAAGGCTCAATCAATTTTCCAAGGCTTATCTTTTTTCACCCTTTCTTCTTGGTATATACTCCACAAACTGGACCATACACATTCTTCCCCTTCTCAGAATACTTCCCTCCATCTCCACAGAGCCAAACTCTGCCCATTCCACAGGCTTCAAATGCCTTCTCTATTTCCCCGACCGCTTCTTCCAAACCAGAAGCAACCCCAGCCAACTCTGCACATTCACAGCACTTTGTCTGTATCCCTCTTAAGGAACTTCCTGTGTTCTCCCTGGTATTACAGTTGTGCCTCCGCTACTAACAGGCAGGAGCAGCACCTAGCACTCTTTATAAACTTCTCACAGATCCCTTACCTCAACTGAGTGAAAATTAGATTCCAACCACTGACCTGCTTAGACCTTGGTCCCTTGCCTAGACAGCACCACCTGATTCCATTCCACCCCCTCATGTCCATTCTGCACACTGATGTTGAATATTTTCTTTAAGATCTGATTATGTTACTTCTCTAATATACACATCAATGGCTCCCAATTGCCTTCCTCAGAAGTTCCCAACTTAAGAATTCTAACACACTAACTGGATTTGGTGTGAACTGTCCAAGGTAATTTCTCACTATTAATGAAGTACAAATTAAACAATTTACGAACGTAGAGCACTGAGAATAATGTCAGCAGATTGTAAGCATTATACAGGTGATAGGTATCATTTGTATTTAAATTCTAAGACTTGTGAGATAGGTGTAGCAATGTTTTTGGTGCTCTGCCCACATCCCCACGGCCCGTTTCTTATTTCTGCGTTAGCTTCAGGTGACAGTTCTGTGCAGGCTGACAGCATCTCTCCTCAAGGGCTCTGTAGGTCTCCCTGCCTTTCTGCCCCAGAACTTCCTCTTCTCAAAAGCTCACTTAACCCATAAACCTATGCAAACTGGTAGTACAGAGGCATTCGTAGGCATTAATTTTCATCTAATAAATTATGTGCCTCCTTCCTACATTGCTACAACCACCACCACAATCCAAGGGAAGACAACAAAATCTTAATTACAGCTTCGCTAGTGTCCAACTTCTTGGCATCTTTATCAACTCCCTTCCACAGAGCTTGAGGCCATCTGCCTTATCCTTCTGCTTTTGGCCCACTAACACACGTCGAGAGGGTAACACCCAAACATCTGCTGCCTGAAAAGGGTCAATGGGCTGAAGAGAAAAAGAAAACAAATGGCAAAGTCACAGGTCACACTGCCAAGGAGGGGACGAAAAGGGAGCGTAGAGTCTTGAGACCTGGACTTTCTTCCTCCCTGGTCTCTAAGCGGAGTTAAATATGCCTTCAGGAGAGGCTGAAAGAAGTACCTCAAGCCACAGTCAGGACAAGCGGAATCAGAGGCTGACACCACGCAGGCGCAAGGAGGCGGCTAGGTTCCTTACCCAGGCTCTCTCCTAGACAAGGGCCTCCCCTCACCCCGCGGCCTCTCCTAGACAAGGGCCACAGCGACAGCACAGTGCCCCGCGCTAGGGCCTCCCTTCTGTGCCCCCCTTTTCCTCTCTAGGCCCTAGAAATCCAGGAAAGGTCTGGGAGGCTGTCTTCTCCCGCCGTCAGGCCACCCCCGCCCCCTTCGCCCCGGGTCCGACCGAATGTGGAGGGCGGATACCAGCTGCGGGAAAGGCGTCAAGGCGGGAAAGGTCGCCAGGCCTCCCGAGATCGGCCAACCTCGTCGCCACTCTCACCTCTTTGTCCGCCGCCTTCTCCTCGATACCAAGCAGTGCGTACAGGTCGATCTGTAAGAGCTCTTTGGTCACCGCCATTTTTCCAAGCCTGACTGGATCCGTACTACAACCCCCAAGAGTCTAAGCGTGCGAGGGGCTTCACGGGGTCTGACGGCCCCCAGAGGGCTGAGTGGCACTTAGCCCTCTGGGAAATGTCGTGTTCTGGTCAGGCTTGACGGCCTTTCTGGATGTGGGCGGTTTCTGAATGAACTACGACTCCCATGAGGCTCCGCTCTCCGGCCCGGCTGGCAGGGAGAGATTTCCCTGTCAGAGGCCGTAGAGGACCGGCTCGAGTGGGCGTACGGGGCAGGGGCGGGACTGGGTGAAGGTCCAAGGGGTTGTGAACCTGGCGGACGAGATTTCAACTCTGCCGACCCTGCCACGCCAGCCCTGGAACCAGGATGGACAGTAGGTGCTACAACTGCGCTGTCAAGTTCACCCTCTTCAAGAAGGAAGTGAGTCTTCCCGGGAGCTAAAGGGCCAGGGAGCACACGGAGTAGAGCGAAAAGCACAGGACTTGCTTTTGGAGTCCGTAGACTTGCTTTTATTTTATTTACTTTCAGCCATGTGGTTTTGATGAAGTCAGGCTCAAGTTCCATTTTTGTAAAATGAGGCTAACGCTCCCTTGCTCTCCAGGTTGGTGTGAGAATCCAGTATGGTGCTGGAGGTGAAATTTCCCTGTAAACTGTAAGGCTCATTGCTGTTGTTTTTGGAAAGCTAGGCTTTTCTGTCCAACTGTGGGATCCGGCTCTTTCCTCCCCTCCGCTCTGCTCCTCCGCAGCCCGATCTTAGTTAATCCCCCGTGACCCTCTCCATCACACCATGCACGGTACTCTCTGTGTTCTGAAACCATCATCATGCAGCCTGCCCGTCCCAGGTTTCTTGAATTAGATTACCACCCTCCCTTCTGTCCCCAGGGCACCATGACAAAGACGCTCTTGTCTTTAGCACAGATCCACCAACTTACCTCAGTATAAACTGCAGGTTTCCTCTGCCTCAGTTGTGACTAGAAGCTAGTAACCAGATAGGATGAATGATGAATGGAGGAGGGTAGGGAGGCAGATCCGTGTAGCACTTGGAAACCTGGTTTTGAAGTCGGAGCTCTGTTGTCTTATTCACAGGGTGACCTTGGTTTGAACAAGTCATGTAACCTCTCTGACCACATCAAAAATAAGAATAATAATGGTGGCTGTCAGGATTAAGTAAAATAGTGTGTATAAATTGTGAGGATTAAATCAGATGATGAATGTTAAGTAATGAGCTTAGTGCCTGGCACACAGTAAGTACTAAATAGAGGCCACTGTTAATCATCCCATCCTGAAGCCAAGCCTTCCTCCATCTCTACTTGAGCAGAGAAGACAGGGACTCTGTGTCCTCTCCGATTTCCCTTTATTGAAGTGTGATCTGAGGCATGGGGCTAGGTAAGGGAATTGAAGACAGGGTAGAAAGCATGGGAATTTGCATGAAGCTCTACTTGATTTGAATAAAAGACTGGAGCTGAGGATTTGCTTTACTTTTCATCCCTGTCTCTCCTTAGGGCTTAGGGGCCCGCTCCTCCTCCTCCTTCCTAGCTGCTGGTCATAACTTCACTGTCTTCTCTCTGTGTGTACTTGGAGAGTCCCAGGGAGGAACCTGCAGGGGTGGGTGAGAGGTGGATCCCCCTGCTTCATGTTTCTTGTAGTATGGCTGTAAGAACTGTGGCCGGGCCTTCTGTTCCGGCTGCCTTGGCTTCAGTGCAGTGGTGCCCCGGGCTGCGAACACCCGACAGAAAGTCTGCAAGCAGTGCCATGAGGTCCTGACCAGGTAAGAAATCACCACAGGTGAGGGTTCAGCCAAGCAAGGCAGCAGGCAGCTGGTCAGCCTTTGCGGCCTTACACATTGTGGCTACAGGTCAGCCCAGGAAATGTGTGGGGTAGGGGGTGCTGAGTGGCAGATGAGAGGACATCTGACACCAGATTTCTTCTCTATAGAGGATCTTCTTCTGCTAATGCCTCCAAATGGTCACCACCCCAGAACTATAAGAAGTAAGTGCTGAAGAGACAGAAACAAATGGGGATGGGGAAAGGAAGGCAGAACTCTCTTACCAGCCTCTAGGTCACATGAGCACAAGATCAGGAGCTCCTGACTGCCATTTTAGGCTCAGAAAACAGCTTATTAGCCCTGTCCCCAGAAAAGGTTCTTGATAGGCCTGGCCCTCTCAGCTGGACCCTCTGGCTGGTCAGCTGGGTTGGGCTTCAGGGCTACATGAGCAAGAGCCACAGAAGATTGTCCTTGAAGGCCTCCCTAAATGCCTAGATTCGAATGGAAACACTGAGTGGGTGCCTTCACCCCTCCCTTCTACATTCTTCAAGAGCCTCTATCTCATATCACATCAGGCGTGTGGCAGCCATGGAAACCAAACAGAAGCTCCACACTCCCCAGAGCCAGGGACAGACCCGGCAAGACCAAGTCATCGCTGAGCGCCTGGCACGGCTCCGCCAGGAGAACAAGCCCAGTGAGTGGGGGCAGACAGGGTGGCCTGAAAGATACCATCCGAGGCTCCTGAGACTAGAATTTCTCTGGGTCTTACAAGGCTTCCCCGTTCCAATTACAGAGTCAGTGCCCTCGCAGGCAGAGATAGAAGCCAGACTAGCTGCTCTGAGGGATGAACCCCAGGGTTCCATCCCTTCCACCCAGGAGATGGAGGCACGGCTTGCTGCATTGCAGGGCAAAGTTCGACCTTCTCAGAACCCCCAACTGGTAAGTGCTGTGGCCTGGGAGAGAAGGGGGTCCTAGGACAAGGACCCAGCAGAAGCTCAGATACATGTATGCTTATGTACTTTTCAGGAGTTGGCAAAGCCTCCCACCCCCACCTCCTGAGCCTGCTCCCAGGCCCAGGAACAGGGACTAGCAGCAGGATTGGGTGGGCAGGAAGGAATGGCCCCTCAATCTTGTGGGGACTGCCAGGCCTACCTGACTATGTGGGTCCTGGATTAATCCCCTTTCACGGAGCTTTGGGAACTCCTCAGCATCCACTCCAGAGCTAGGCTGCTCTGGGCCTTACAGGATGGCCTCGCCCTACCCTGCCCCTCACTGAGACTCCCTCCTCTGTGCAGGCGCACAGGCCACCAGACACCAGGACCCAGGCCCAGCAGGCCCAGGATCTGCTGACACAGCTGGCGGCAGAGGTGGCTATTGATGAGAGCTGGGAAGGAGGCGGCCCAGGCAACTTCTCCACATGGCTTCCCCAGGGACCTGCCCCCTCTCTTTCCCTAGGTGGGAGAGGCCCTGCTGCTCCCCCTCTGGGAGGCGAATATAAATCAGAGAACAATGAACATGGTAAGGGCCACCATTTAGTGAGTGTTTATTCCAGTGGGAGCCAGTGGGAGCCTAGTGGATAAGCGTGTGGGCTTTAGAATCAAACAGTGGATCTCCATCCTGCCACTTACTAGCTGTGCAACCTGGGCAAGTTACCTGACCTAAGTTCCACTTTCCTCATCTGTTAAGTGGAATTATGTGTGGTAAAACCTACCTAGTGAGGAAGTCATGAGGAGTAGACGAGAGCATCGAGCAAGTACTTAGGACCCTGCCTGGCTTATAGTAAGTGCTCAGTGAATGTTCCCTGTGATGATGGTAAGGAGGAGGAGGAGGCTATTTAAATGTAATTAAAATTCAGTAACACTTAAAATTCAGCTCCTCAGAGGTACTACCCACATGAGGCTCATAGCTATCATCTTGGACAACACAAATATAGACCGTGATATGAAACATTTCCATCATCATAAAACAGTCTACTGGACAGTGCTATTCAAAGACTTAGAGCAGTAATTCTCAACTAGAGATGATTTTTCCTCCAGGGTCCATTTGGCAATGCCTGGAGACTTTCTGGTTGTCACAATTCAGAGAGTACCCCTGGCACCTAGTGAGCTGAGACTAGATGCTGCTGAACATCGTACATGCACAGGATGCGCCCACAGCAAAGAATTACCCTGTCCGAAGTGTCCAAGATTGAGAAACCCTGCCATAGAGATGCAGTCTCACTGAATATCCTCAGTAATCCTGAAGTACATACTGTTAGTATCCATATTTTATAAATGAGAGACTGAGGCTGGTAAGCTTATAGAACTTGGCCACAGCCACACAGCTATTAAGTGGCAGAGCTGGGACTTGAGCCCAAAGCTGTCTGATTTCAAACCTTTTGTTCTGAAACTCTGAGCTAAAGGAGACCATGTTAGGGCCACACCCACTCTGGTAAAATTCTTCCCAACTAGGGACATACAAGACCTTAGCTTCCCTCATGTCCTGTCTTCCCTACTCCCTGGAAATGCTAATTCTAGCCTGTAAGGCAGAGAGTCTGGCTGAACCTTGGCCTCCCCATATCCTGATCCTTTAGGTTGTGATTCTCATACCATGGGACACCCACCCTAAGGGCAGCATATTAAAAATATCAAGTAGTGGGGGATGGGGATGGTTGAAAAAAAAATGTGTCTAAGATTACTAGTTTTTTTACATTTGGAAAGATGGAGGAAATACTCATTTTATTGTAATATAAACCAAGGAGCTAGTGCTGAACAAAAAGTTGATATCTATAATTTTTTTTAAAAGTTGAGAAATGGGCTCAGTGTCTTCTGATGAGAGGCCTTGGAATGTCTCTGCCTTCCTGACTGCATTGCTCCTTCCAGCTGCCTCTAGGCAGAACAGCCTCAACCAGGGTGGCCCAGGGGGCCGGAGCCCTAATTCCAAGGGGAACGCCACCTGGTCTCTGCAAGAGGAGAATAGCAGGCTGCTGGCTGAGGCAGCTGTCCAGCTGCAGGAAGAGAACACAAGGCAGGAGCGGATCCTGGCCCTCGCCAAGCGTTTGGCTGTGCTCCGGGGACAGGACCCTAATAGAGGTAGAAGCTGGGGAACAGCTGCTCACTCATGTCCATTGGCAGGCCCACCCCCACCCCCAGGCCAAGCTCTCAGAATGGCTGTACTCCCTGTAGGCTGAGAAAGGCACCAGGGGTCCTGTGCCTGGGAGTCTGTCAGGCTCTGCTCAGAGCCATGAAGAAGGTACTGGGGCAAAGCACTGGTTGAAGAACAAGTAGCAACCATCAGGGGACAGGGGACCCTTAGTTCCTGCAGGTGCAAAGTCTTCTGTTCCTGCACCTCCCACCCCACCCCCGCCCTACAAGGTGGGGTAGGGAAGAGCAGTGTCTGATCAGAGAGGCTGCAGAGGCAGCTCAGCTCTGGAACAAGTGCCACAGGAAACCAAAGCAGCTTCTCGGGGCAAGAGTACAGCCACTAAAGTGACCTCTCAGCCTCTTTGCTCCCAAGCTCCCATCTCTCTCTTTTCAAGTGACCCTCCAGGATTATCACCTCCCAGACAGTGATGACGATGAGGATGAGGAAACAGCCATCCAGAGAGTGCTTCAGCAGGTTGGCCCTGCCCTACCTGACTACCTCTTGTCCTGTTCCTGCCTCACTGCCCCATCCCCCACCTGGCCCTGATCACCCTTCCTCTGCTCTGGGGCTGTGTGGCCAGTCACTCTGCAACTCCTCTTCTAACTGGAGCCCCACTGTCCCTAAGCCCCAGACCTGCCCCCTGGCCCCTTGAGATAGGCTAGGCCTGGTTCCAGAGCCTCTTTGCCTTATCCATAGCTCACTGAAGAAGCTGCCCTGGATGAAGCAAGTGGCTTTAATATCCCTGCGGAGCCAACTCTCCAACCCCAGGCCCAATCCTGCAGGGCAGAGCCTGAGGTGAGAGAAGCCCCAAGCCACTGCCACAGTTTCCTCCCTGCCTGGCCAACTGCTGCTGCACAGCTCCCATGCCCCCATCCAGTGCCTTACCTCCCCTGTTCATCTCCAGGCCCTGAAGGCCCGGGCTGTAGCCCTCAAGCCTGAGGCTGAGGAAGAGGAGCTCCCCTGGTGCTACATCTGCAATGAAGACGCCACCCTGCGCTGTGCTGGCTGTGATGGAGACCTCTACTGTGTCTGCTGCTTCCGGTGGGGGCAGGTAGAATGTTCTGTGGAACTGGGAGAGCTTGAGGCCCCTGTGATCCCTGATCTCCTGAACTGTATCTCTGCTCCACAGGGAAAGCCATGATGCCTTTGAACTTCAAGAGCACCAGACATCTGCCTATAGTTCCACGCATGCAGGCCAAGAGCACTGAGGAAACCCTGGTCCTCCCAGGAAGGCAATCCTATGGGCAGCTGCACAAGCTGGGGTGGCTACCTCTGAGCTCAGCCTCGGGGTATCTGATGGAAGACCATGTCAGGCTAGACTGCTCACAGAATGGCTCTTTCCTGAACTTCAGTGTCCCTGGAAGGAGGAAAGCAGAAGTCAGGAGCCCTCCAGCAGCAGAGCCAGGACTGGGAATGAGGCATGATGCAGAAAGGCCAGACTAACTCAAAGGATGAACCTTGAAACTTGCCCAAGGACCCAGAGCCCTACCCAGTACTTTGCGGATCTAATAAAGTATGTTTGATTCCTTGAGCCCTGCATCTCTTATCTCTAGAACCCAGTGGGCCCTGAGCCAGAGACCTTGGAGAGATGGCAAGAGCAGAATAGGCTTAAGTCCAGTCCTGTGCAGTGAGGAGAAAGGTTGAGCCAGCCTGCAAGTTTCTGCAGGTGGGACTGTTCCTGCTGTTCACACAGTAGGCATGAATATTTGCTGAACCAAATTATGCATCCTGTTCCGAGCAGCCCAGCTCAGCCCCTAGGCTTCACCATCGGATTTCTGAGCCTCTGTAGTACTCAGACACTGCATGCACAATGATTACACACCCTGCTTCCTGCCTTACTCACAAAGGATGCCTCTTCCCAGGGCCCCCATCCCAACCTATCTGCCATTCAGACCCAGTGTGTGTTTCTAGCAACTCCTTCCTGACCTGACTCTCGGCTTCTCAGCCTGTACCCTTTATACCCTTCTGCTTAGCCCCTGCTTTCTCTCTTCCTGTCTCTGGCTACAGCTGCTCAAGGAGGAGTCCTCCACCTAAGGCCTCCTGAATCATTTAAAGGGGAAGAAGGTGAAACCTTCCCAGATGCCCCCAACCCAGCTAGGTTTTTCCTATTAGCTTTCCTCTGGGATTCAAGGCTAGTCTCTGCTACTTGGGCTCCTGTTGTTGGAGGTGCCAGGCGGCTCTGTGTTGCAGCCAGGTGCCGCAGCTTGGCCTCTGGGCCTTGTTAGATTGTGATGTCTCTAGCAGAATTGTGACCTTCCTCTTCGAATTTTTGGGTCCTGTTTGGATGGATGGATGGGGTGTGTGGCCACAGCCCAGTGACTCAGGATGTGCCCTCTGGTATATTGCTTTGCCCTCCCCCTCCCCCATCCCTCGGCACAGATATGCTCCACACTCCATTCAGCTGGGGCTCCTAAAGGTTTTATCCACTTGGTTGCCAAGGAAAGCATTGGGAAACAGCCATGACTGGCTCCCAGAAAGCCCAGCGACAGGAACTAGCTGTGACTGCACATACACTAGGGGTGTCCAAATGTCCCTCCTTGTCCTCCATGTTCTTTGTCTGTGTCCCAAGGAGTTGTTTCTCTCTCAGCCCAGGATCCAGAGATTCAAGGCAGGCCTGGCAGTGCTGAGGCTGTTGATGTTGGTCTCACAAGGCTTATTTCTGAGGCCGGCTGAGTCTCCGGAGTTTCTTGAGTTGACTAAGCAGCTCAGAGATAAAAGGCTGAAAGAGAAACAAGGGTGAGATCAAGACCTGAGGTCACACCCACCCACCACTCTGCCCTCCCTAATCTCCCCCCATTCTACCTCCCCAAAGTTGGGGAAGGAGAGAAGGACCTTGGGCTAAGCCTTCCTTTCAAATCCTCCCCTTCATTAGCTTCCTCCCCAGTGGGCCTCCTCTTAACCCCAGACCAACAGAACATCCCTTACCTCTGTGGGGCGAGGGCAGTTTTGGAGAATAGCCTGGGTAGAAGAGAGCAGAGAGTGGGTTCCTAAGCTATAACGCTTCTCCACAAGCCCCCCTCAGCCTCCCAGGGATTCTCCCTTTTGAACTGGTTGTCCTCATTCAAGGAGGCAGAGATTGGGGTTCCTTGGTTCTCCTTGGTCCAAGCCCAGCTTCCATCCCTCAGTGCCTGGGGCGAGGGGCCAAACCCCCATTTTACCTCCAACTGGGTCTTCTGCTCCTCTATGGATAGTTCCATGAGAGCCTCCAGGTCAATCTCAGGCTCAGAAGGACTTGGCTGATCCTGTTTGGGAATCACATGGGGCTCAGAGGGGCCTGGCCCGCTGGTGCTGCAGTGAAAGTTACTGTCAGACTCACCCATATCCCACCTCATTCCCCATGTTCAGTCCCTCTTTGTACACTACTCAAACCACCCATTCATACTTGCATTCAATAGGTAGTGAACAGTTACTATGTTCTACCTGAAATCGTGCTAGGGTTCTTTAAAAGGAGTGTCTGTTTGATTTCAAAAGATACATACATTGTCAGCAGGAATGAAAAATGCACCACTGCTTTGGAAAAGAGTTTGGCAGTTCCTTAAAAATGGTAAATAGAGAGTTATCACCTGACTCAGCCATTCCACTCCTAGACCTATGCCCAAGAGAAATGAAAACATAAGTTCACACAAAAATTCACACAGGATTGTTCACAGCAACATTATTCATAATAGCCCCAAAGTGAAAACAATCCAAATGTCCATCAACTGATAAATAAATAAAATATGATGCAGTCATACAATATTACTCAGCAATAAAAAGGAATAAAGCACTGTTTCATGCTGCAACATGGGTGAACCTTGAAAATATTATGTTAGTGAAAGAAGCCAGTTACAAAAGACGACATGTTTTATGATTTAATTTATAAGAAATGTCCAGAAGAGGTAAATCTATAGATGCAAAGTAGATTAGTGGTACCGATCTGGGTAGAAGAGATCAGAGAGTGGGTTCCTGAGCTATAACACTTCCCCACAGGCCCCCCATCAGCCTCCCAGGGATTCTCCCCTTTGAATTGGTTCTCCCCACTCAAGGAGTGGTGATGGTGGGGAATGAGGTATGACTGCTGATCACTGTAAGGCTTTGGCGGGGGGATAAAAAGTTCTAAAATTAGATTGTGGTGAAACCACTGAACTGTACACCATAAGTGGGTGAATTGTATGGTATGTGAATCATATTTCAAAAACACTTTTTAAAAGTTATTATAGCCATTGAAATAATTTAAACATTACAGAGTCTATCAAAACACTGAAAATACAAGCCATAGACTTGGAGAAAATATTTGCAAGAGACACATCTGCTAAAGGACTATTATCCAAAATACAGAAAGAATTCTTGAAACTCAACAATAAAAAGTGAACAACCCAATTTTAAAAAAGATCTGAACAGATACCTCACCAAAATGATATGCAAATGCCAATATCATATGTGATTACGGAACTGCAGATTAAAACAAGATACCACTACATACCTATTGAAATGGCAAAAAAATCAGAACACTGACAAGTGCTGAAGAAAATGTGGAACAACAGGAACCTTCATTCGTTGCTGGTAGGAATACAAAATGGTACAGCTACTTTGCAAGACAGTTTGGCAGTTTCTTACAAAACTAAACATACTCTTACCATATGATACAGCAATCATGCTCCTTGGTATTTACCCAAGTAAGGTGAAAACATATCAACACAAAAACCTGCATATAGTGGTTTACAGCAGCTTTATTCGTAATTGCCAGAGCTTGGAACTAACCAAGATGTCCTTCAGTAGGTGAATGGACAAATCAACAGTGGTACATTCAGACAATGGAATATTATTCAGTGCTAAAAAGAAATATGTTATCAAGCCATTAAAAGACATGGAGGAATCATAGAGTCATATAGTAAGTGAAAGACCCCAATATGAAAAGTTTACATACTGTATGATTCTGACAGTAAAAAGATCAGTGGCTGCCAGGGACTAGGTGGGAGGGAGGGATGAAAAGGCGGAGCATCACTTTTAGCGCAATGAAACTACTCTGTATGATACACTAATGGCAGACACATGTCATTATATATTTTCCAAATCTACAGCACATACAACACCAAGAATGAACCCTAATATAAACTATGGCCTTTGGGTCATTATGATATGTCAATATAGATTCACCAATTGTAACAGTGTACCACTCTAGTGGGGGATGTTGACAGTGCGGGAGGCTATGCATGTGTGGGCACATGGGGAATATGGGAAATCTATATTTTCTGCTCCATTTTGCTGTGAACCTAAAAGTGCTCCAATAAATAATGTCAATTTTTTTAAAAAGTCAACTCAAGGGCAAAGATTTATTGAACTTAATAATTTTTATAGCTTCATCAAGGACTTAGTGAAAATGGCATGGTGGTGATGAATGTAGCTACTAGTATAGGTTGGCACCATTTTCTTGATTCACACCAAGGGCTACCATTGTTTTTGCCTTAACAGTGAAATGCCAACATAGTTAAAAAGGCAAACATCTTAGTATTATTATAAAAATAATCATAGACCCCCTAAAAGAGACTTGGGAACCCCCAAGGTCATCAGAATACACTTCAAGAACTGCCACTTTATACGTTTTTCTATTAAGTTGTTCAGCTTTTTCTTACTGATTTAAGAAGTCTTTTTTAAATTTAGATTAGCTCTACCATTCCACACATGCATTCCAAATACCATTTGCTTTTGGGCAAGGGGTTCTTCCTATATTAACTTAAATATTTGATATTTATTTGCCTTTACATTTTTCTAGAGATTTGGTCATTTCACCTTTTCCATTTGATTATTTCATCCTTTAAAATCTATTTACTCAACAATTATGTGTCCTACTATTAACTCTGCACTGTGAACTCGGAAACTTCAGTGAATAAAATAAAGATCCTGCCCTCAAAGAGCCTACATGTTAGGAGCAATGGAGGAGACATAATAAAAACAGGTATAATAAGTAACTAAGTTATCTGATTTGTTTAAAGGTAAGTGCTATTTGGGGAATTTTTTGGAAGATGGAAATGTTCCATATCTTGATTGGGGTAGTCATTATATACGGTAAAGTGCATCCAAACATACATCTCAAAGCACCGTGCTTTACTGGGGTGGGGGTAAATTATTCCCTAGATTAAAGGCTACTCTAGATTCACCCTAATGGAGCTTAAAAACAAGCCTCAGAAGGATCTAACTGAACCACAAGTAACTAAACTGTCAACTAGAAAGAGGCCAAACATTCTTTAAAGGAAGAAAAAAACTCCAGTTACCCAACAATACAAAATTCATAATGTCCAGTGTCCAATAAAAATCACTAGTCATGCCAAGAAGCAGGAAATGTAACCTATAATCAGGAGAAAAATCAGTTAAGAGAAGCAGACCCAGAAGTGACAGAGACAATGAAATTAGCAGATGAGGAAAGCATGACCATAATAATGAGAGACATGGAAGTTATGAAAAAGAATAAATGGAGCATCTAAAGATGAAAAATATAATATTTTAAATGAAAAACTTACTAGGTAGAATTAACAGCATATTTGACACCACAGGAAAAAAACAATATATTGAACTTCAAGATACAACAAAAGAAACTAGCCAAAATGAAACACAGGAAAAGAACCTCGGGGGGAAAAAAGAACAGAACAGAGCCTTGATGACTTGTGCCATGATATGAATTGGTTAACAAGTGTAACTGGAATCCCAGAAGGTGGAGGGTGAAGCCAAATAATTAAGATACATTCTAATGATTAGAATTCTGCCTAGAAAGTATTAGTCCAGAAAAAAAAAAACCTTTATCACTTATAAATCAAATATAAGGTATGTGTATTACTGAGAGTCAGATTACCACTGCAGACTGGAGTTAAGAATATAGGCTCATATCATAATCTAAATATTTTCTTCAAGTATTTTTGAATTCTCAGAAAATAAGCAGATATAGCAAACAACTCCTCCTGAGATGAACAAGTGTGGTAAACATGTAACTCTATATTACATGTGGTGGTTTCCTGCCAGATACTGTCTGGTTTGATCATTTTCTTACTTCCAGTCCATTCTCAGTCCCCTTACTTCTGATGTCTCTCCACCATGGGAATCAGCAATGGAGTAAGATATTGAGATGAGCTAACAAATTTTGTTTCATATGTTCATTGACAATGAGTTTTTAAAGTTGGAAGTTTAATAGATTGCTTCTTAAAATGTTACCACGTCAAAAAGCCCGTATTTAAACGCCAGCCTGCCATCAGGAAAAAATAATGTCATGGAAACTGTAGGAAAAGAATGTTTCAAAACTGTGGGGTGGTCAACAGTGTCGTCTGCTCATATGTCCATCAGATTTAGTCCCAAGGCAGTGATTGGTGACCTTGGCAAGAGCTCTCAATAGAGTAGTAGAAAGAGAAGTGATTTCAGTGGTTTGAGTGGTGATAGGAAGGGGAAAGGTAAGTAGAGGATGTGATTGTGGACAGATCCTTTAAGAAGTCTTCTTGTAAAGGAGACATGAAATAGGGAAGGTAACTGGAGGGGGCACATTGTTGAGTGAGAATCTCAAGATAGGAGAAATTCATGAGTGTTTAAGTCCCTGCTTATAGCCAAACGCACACTCCACTTCTGGACAACAGGAGCTGTTGAACCCAGACTTAGTTCCTCTGAAAACCCCAAAGCAGATTACACACTCAGTGAGAAGAGGTAGGGCCCTCCCACAAAGGAAGGTTGGGTCCCATTAAACTAAACTAAACAATTAGTGATTCAACCCTGGAACCATTCCCAGTGGAACTATCCAAGGTGGGCCTGTTGCCGAGAACCCTGGTGGGCGAGAGGGGCTCTACGAAGGTACAACTGGAGCAGGGTAAGCCTGGAGACAGTGTTGCCTCCATCTCTGCCCAAGATAACCAGCCACCTGGGGCTTCCCCAGGCACTTGGATGCTTCCTGCTGGAAAGAGTAGAGATTGGGAGAGGAATTACCACCTGGCACCTTTGGACAATTACCATGGCAACTGTAAGCCAGGTATTTTATTTCGGTCATTGCCTGGGAGCAGTCCTCCCACATGTCCTGTTTTCCAATGTTATGAGCTCATTAGTATACAGCTTTCCTTCTGCCTTGATTTTTCAAAACAAGGTTCTTTTGCTGTGTCTTTCTCTGATGCCTGAAAGGATTTGCCCTGAGGTGTCTGAAATACGAGACTTTTCTTACAAGTACACAATTTGAAATTGAAACTTATCTGGAAAGGGAAGGTGCTGGCAGTAGATGAAGGGCAGTGGAGGTGTCCTGCAAGGTCAGAGCAGACACAGGCCAAGAAAGCTTGTGTCTCCTTCTCCCAGTTTCAAGGCATCTCCCTACTCTCCATGAGTGAGCTCAGGTTGCTGCAGGGCACATGGGCAACACCCAACACCTGGACCAAACTGACCCATGACCTGTTCAACTTCACAAGACAGCCTGAGCCACATGCAACGCTCTTCCCCACCCCAACAGAGAGCTGCTGATCCACCCCTTACCCGGAAGAGTTGCAGCCCTTGCTGCCCCAAAAAGAAAAGACAAGCCCTGAGTCAAGAAGAAGAAACAAGGACCATGGTAGGTGGACAAGGACTCTGGTCTCTGGCTTGGTGCAGTGGGTCTCAGTGGGCCACACACTAGAATCAACTGTGGAGCTGATAAAAAAGACCAATGCCTAGACCCCAGCCTAAGAAGATTTCAAGTCAGTTGAGGTATAGCTGGGGCACTGGATTTTTCTGAAGTGTGTCAGGTGTGAAGCACTACTAGCTGCTCAAATAAGAGCTCAGGCTCTGCACAGAGCACCAGACACAGCCTCTGGTCCCCTGGCTTCCTAGCTGTGTGACCTTGGGCTACTTAACATCTCTAAGCCTCCATTTCCTCCATGATAAAACAGTACCTAACTAATGGAGTTACGGGGAAGGGTTGAATGAATGAATGTGTGTGAAGTGCTGAGCACTGTGCCTAGCACAGAGTTAAGTGCTCAATATGTTATTCTGTTGAAGCAGCGGTTGTTACTAGTCTAGGATCCCGATTTGGAGGTAAGTATCCCGTGAGAAGGGGTCAAGCCCCGTCCTTTTCTCAGGGTGGAGTTAAGAGGAGTCAGTCAGAGCCAGGCTGGGTCAGCTGCTGGTGTTTGCCATCACCATGGGTTAGCTCTGACATTCTAGTCCAACACTGCCCATTCTGAGATGATGGAAATCTTCTACAGCCAGACTGACAATATGGCAGCCACTGGCCACATGGGCCTGTTGAGCACTTGAAATGTGGTTGCTGTGACTGAGGAACTGTATTTTAAAATTTATTCAATTTTTATTAATTTAAAGTTAAGCAGCTACACGTGGTTGAGAGCTACAGTATTGGACAGTGTAGCTCTAGACATGTATGTGTATTGAGGATGAGAGGACACAAAGAAAAATAGCCCTACTACCTCACACAAGTGTTAAAAGTCCTACAACAGAGATGTTACAGGCATAGCTCCATAGCCCCATTTTACTGATTAGGGAACTCTCAGAGATACACAAAGACCTGCCCCAGATTATGAAGAAAGTTAGAGGTAGAGGCCTGACCAAAGGCAGGCAGGTTTCTGGACTGTGAACCCATCGTCACCTGTTGGGCAGAGCTTTGTCTCCCTGGGAGCAGCTCCCACCAGCCCTCCCGCTCCCCCTGAGGTCTGCAGGCAGGCTCTCTCCTGGGCCCCTGTGTCCTTCCCCCTGCCCCCATGCTACCCACCTGGAAGAGCTCCTGCACTTTCGCATCCACCCACTGCTCCGTCTCCAGCCAGCGCTGGAGCTGCCCCCGGTCGTACTTCACTGTGAGCCGGCTGGGTCTCCGGGACCTGGACACTCTGGAGGGGGGGTCAGGGTGGGACTTGGACTCTGAGTCTGTGGATGACGTCCTCCTCCTTCCAGAAGCCCACTGGACCTTCTTACTTGGGTTGTCCTTGTCTGGGTTGGGAGATGTACAGGAAGCAGGGCTTGAAGACAGCATGGAAGGACTGGCCTGAACAAGGAGCTGGGAAAAACTGCCAGTTAGAGCAAGGGTGCCAACAGAATGAGAAGACAGAGAAAAGAGGGAGAGGCCAGCAGGGAAGAAAGAAAGGCGGAGGGAAGGAGGGCCAAGGCTTAGGGAGGGTGGGGGTCAAAGATCAACAGGCCTTGGTGCTGGGAATGCCAGTCTCCTGCCTCCTTGCTGCCAGTGAGTGGCACTCCTGAGCAGTGCCCCAGCCTCACCTTTCTGCAGTTGCTGGGGCCCAAAGTGATATCAACAGCAGATGAGCAAAGGTCAAGAGGTGCCATGCCTTGGGGGAGGAAGGAGCCCCTGAGTTCTGAGGGGTGTAGGGCTCTGCTCAGGGCTCTCTGACCAGCTGTGGATCAGGACCTGAGTCATACTGACCTGAGAGCCCACGGCAGCCCACCTTCCTGGGACTAGATCCACATGGGCTCAAGAAGCTGCTGTCAGATCCTGCAGGAGCAGAGTCCCTGGCTGTCTGGGGTTTCTGCTCAGCGTGGCACCTCTAGGGGCAGAGGCTCGCCCGGGAGAGCTAGACCGGTGGTTATCTCCAGCCTTTATGGGCCCTGTACCCTCTTGCATCTGGATGGGTCTGTATGTGTGCTGCCTTTAGGAATATGCCAAGGAAGAAGCGTTCCCCTGTCAGTCTGGCCCTGTGTGCCTGAGAAGCCAAATTTATCAAGCTTGTTTCCTGTGCCCAGTCCTCAGAGGCAACTGCTCGGGAAGCTGTGTTCTTCATCGTGTGACTCTCCAGGGACTTGCTCCTTCCTGACACAGAGGAAACCTGCAGACCTAACTTTACCCAGGTATCCAGCACTAACTTTTAGACATACTTGCATTCTAAAGGAAGGGTGTTTTTGTTCGTTTAATTAGTCCTTTGTAACAAACATTTCAAAACTTTTTAGAAAAGTTACAGAGCATTATTTTTTTTTTTAATGAACAGCTCAGAACAAACAAATGAAAAATGAAAGTTTCTCTCCTTTCCCCAGCTCCACTCCCCAGAGGCAATGGCCACCAACAGCTGCTGGTTTTGGTTCTCCTATAATCACGGTGATCCCTTTGTGTAATACAAATTTGTCCATTTTAGACAGTATCTCTTGTCTCCTCAATATGAAAGATAAAAAATTAACTCCCTCATCCTTTTTACTTTCCACATTCCAATTTTGTTTATGTATTTATTTTTAGGTCTTGTAGTGGTTGCTTATACATGGTAGAGTTTCTTTTTCCAGCGTACCAACTTCCACCATCATACACTGACTCCTAAATGAGAGCTTTAGACAAAGGTGAATAGATGAGTTTTTAATGATGAAATTTTAGGCCATAAGTTAACAGCGTGGGGGAGGTGTTTGAGAGCTGGAGGCCAGGATGATAGCCTGGAAAAGCCCAGACTTTGGAGGAAGGCTGAATCTGAGTCCAAACTCAGCTTTGCCCTTCATTAGACGTTTCACAGCCTCTTTGTGTCTGTTTTCCCATATGCAAAATGGGGCTTGGGGGAGGATTAGGTGAGACAATGCAGCATGACATCCAAAACAGAATCCCTTCTCAGCAGACATCAACTCCCTCTCTTTCTTTCTTTGTGTTCCTGGTGAGATTCTGTCCCCACCAGGCTGGTCCTGGGATTTCTCTTCAGTGGCTTCCTTCTTGGCCCTCTTTGGAAGAGGGTGGTTGAGCAGAAAGAAGTAGGGAGGCCTCCAAAATGTTGCCCATAACCTCAGTTGTTCCTTTGATGACCTGTTACACTCTGATGGAACAGACATTATGATAGTTCCTTCTCTCTTCTGTTTCCTGTCTTCTGAAGGGTTTGGGAGCCCTTTTAGGATCAGAAGAGTCAATGGGTTTTGTTCATTCATTAAACAAAGATTTTATGAGCTCCCCTAGTAGGCTAAGCATTATGCTCAGTACTGGGGTTTGGTGATACAAAAGAGACACCGTCCCTGCTTTCATGGAACTTACAGTGTAAAAATAAACAAACATTGGTCAATTAATCAAACAAATGTAACACTACAACTGTATTTAGTGATCTAAAGAAAAGGTAAGAGGTGCTATGAGAATGTCTAACAAAGGTGTGACCCAGCGAGTGGTAACATTTGAACTGAGTTCTGAAGGACGAATAGGAGTTTATTAGGCAAAGGGGCCAGCAGGAATGGATCTGGCAGAAGGCAGAGTGTATGCAAGGCCCTGTCGCAGGAGGGAGATGGTGAGTACAATAGGCTAAGAGAAGATCAGTGGGGCTGAAACAGAGAAAGCAGAGAGGGAAAAATGAGTCATTAGGCAGAATTTGTGGAGATAATCTACACGGACACCTGTGAGCCATCTTAAGGAGTCAGATCCTAAGAACACTGGGAGTCATCACAAAATGTTCAGCAATGGTGGCCGGGTAGGCTGACATGTTCACATTTAAATTTCCAGAAGATCACCTTGGCTGTTGAATAGAGAGAGGATTAGAGCATGCAGAAGGCCTGGAGGAGATCAGTTAGGAGATCAGTGCTGTAGGGCTTGACTGCAGAACTCATGCTGTCATAGCAAGACGTGGGCAGACGGAGGGTTACTTACGGGGTTAGTTAACAGAACATGGTGATGGACTTAGGACACTTAAATACGCAAACTTCATGGATGCCTACACAGAGACAAAGACAGGCTCATGCATGGAGCTTCTCTGAGCCTGTTCCCTCATCTGTAGACTGGGATTGGTGCAATTCTGCATCAACTAAAGCACAGCCCCTGTGAAGCTCAGTGGCACTCAAATGAGTAATGCCCATTATCTACAGTGTGAGACTCCTTATTTACATTCTTTTGTATCAGCATTTAATTTCATGTCACACATCTCTCTGGCCTATGCGTGTCACCATTCACCAGTAAGTTTGCCCTAGATAAGGGAACTCAAAACCCAAGATTAGATGGGAAGAAAAATGTATCAGGACCACAGGGCCACATCAGGGCAGGGAAACCAATGGGGTGCAGGCCTGGGCACAGGTAAGAGCCCTGGAGAGCTACTCACCACATGGCATATGGTTTCCACTAGAGCCAGGGCACTGGGCAAGATGAAAGTCACAGTCTTTTTTTTTTATTAAGGTATCAATGATATACACTCTTATGAAGGTTTCACATGAAAAACAATGTGGTTACTACATTCACCCATATTATCAAGTCCCCCACACACACCCCATTGTAGTCACTGTCCATCAGCGTAGTAAGATGCCACAGAGTCCCTACTTGTCTGTTCTGTGCTACACTGTCTTCCCTGTGACCCCACGCACACCATGTGCACCAATCATAATACCCCACAATTCCCTTCTCCCTCCCTCCCCACCTGCCCTTCCCCACCACTCGCCTTTGATAACGGATAGTCCTTTCTTGGAGTCTATGAGTCTGCTGCTATTTTGTTCCTTCAGTTTTGCTTTGTTGTTATACTCCACAAACGAGGGAAATCATTTGGTACTTGTCTTTCTCTGCCTGGTCTATTTCACTGAACATAATACCCTCTAGCTACATCCATGTTGTTGCAAATGGTAGGATTTGTTTCTTTCTTATAGGTGGATAGTATTCCATTCTGTATGTGTACCACATCTTTATCCATTCATCTACTGATGGACACTTAGGTTGCTTCCTTGGCTATTGTAAATAGTGCTGCAATCAACATAAGGGTACATATGTCTTTTTGAATCTGAGAACTTGTATTCTTTGGGTAAATTCCTAGGAGTGGAATTCCCAGGTCAAATGGTATTTCTATTTTTAGTTTTTGAGGAAACTCCATATTGCTTTCCACAATTGCTGAACTAGTTTACATTCCCTAGTCATGGTCTTTTTGTAACCTAATCTAGGAAGCAATGTCCCAGGACACTTATACTCTGTTCATCAGAAGTCAGTCGCTAGGTCAAGCCACACTCGAGGGGAGGAGGTTACACAAGGGCTGAATCCCAGCAGGTATGGATATTGCTGGCCATTTAGAAGCTACCTATCACACTGGACTATTGTGAGCATTTCTGACATTAGTAGGATTCTTCAAAAATGCTCCTTGCAGGGCTGCAGCAGTATCTGAGAGGACCTGTTTTCTTTACCTAAAGATTAAACCAATGACAGCAGCCTTACCTTGAAAAATATTGCATTATTTTCCCCCAAATTCCCTATCAAAACTCTTTGGTTCTGCATTATTAGGGAACTAGTGGGCTTTTACTCAGATCATTACAACTAAAATTTATTCTCTAAATATATTATCTTCCTGTTTCAGTTTTTATTGCTAAATAATAAACCACCTGGAACAGAGAGAGCAGAGATGGGAAAATGAGCCTTTTAAAGGCTTAAAATAAAACACAGCTATTTGTTTGCTTACAATCCTGCCACCCGGGCAGGGCTTGGCAGGTGCAGCTGGTCTCACTTGTCCTGGGGACTCATTTGGGTCTAAGGATGCAAGATGGCGTCCCGCAGCTGCTCAGCTGGGAACACTGGGAGATAGCTGGACCCCTCTCTCTGCCTGCATAGTCTCTCACCCTGCAGGGGCTGCTCTCTTCAGGTGGCCTCTCTGTCCTACAGGGCAGTCAATCTCCTTTACATCACAACTGGTTCTAACAGGGAAAAATGCAGGCCACAAAGCTGAGGCCAGAAGTCAAAGGCCACACTTCTGCTATGTCCTATTGGCCAAGGCAGGTCACAGATTCAAAGGGTAGGAAAAGACAGATGCTACCTCTTGGTGGGAAGAACAGCGTGCATGCACAGGAACTGAAGGCCCTTCTACCATCTTTGCTAGCCATCTTTGTAAACAACCCATCACACCTACTGTAGAAACCACCAGGCGCCCAACTGAGATAAGACACTCAGTGTTCCTTACCTGACAGCTGTGTTAAGGTAAGTAACCACTTACCTTTTGGTGAAAATATTCAGTGAACCACCCACTCCTAAGAGCAATGGTTGGTACTAGTCATATGGCAAATAGGAACAAAGCCTCAGGTATAAACCCAGGCCTTCTCTTCCCCAAGTTCATAGAGGAAGTATGAGCCACATGGTGGAACTCATCCAGACAATTCCACTTGGGCCTGCAATATACAATTAGAAAACAGTATCATCTGGAAATACTTTGCAGGAAGGCAGTTCAGAATCACGGGCAGGGCCTAACATTGGCAGTCAAGAGACCTGAAGTCTTGAGGTAGCCTCTGTCACCTACTAGGCTCTGTGTCTTTGAATAAATCAAGAGCAGGTGTGTCTGGGCCTCAGTTTCCCATATGTTAGGGAAAGGGCTTTAACTAAGGCCCCAACTGCTCTGATGCTCTCTGCTGCTCCACAGAGCTAATTTTAATAACCAGTCCAGGGAACAGGTGTCTCTGTACACACTGCCAGAGAGGCTCCTGGTGGGGGGGGGTCACAGATCCATAGGGCCTGAACAGGTGAAAGGCAGGGCTGGAGGAGGGAGCCTCCTGCAGTGTGCAGGGGGCCTGGAGTCCATCTAGAAGCTGGCACAGAACCCAGAACAAGGGCAGCAGTGGAAATAGACAAGAAGGGATGTATGTGAGCAATTATCAGGGAGCAATTGTCAGCACCTACAACTGGCTGGATGTTTGCAGGGAAAGCCTACGGAAAGGCAGGGGAGCAGGTATCCCCAGAGGGACTGGGACAGTGAGGCCAGCATCCCAGAGAACGTGGACGGAGAAGCAATTTGGGGATCAGAATGGTGAATGTGGAGGTTGTCATAATGCATCTCTCTCTTCATTATGGAAGCATCCCACACTCACTAAAGAGAACTTGGAAAATGATTTAAAAACTGGAAAGAAACTGTTACCCCATAACCATTCAAATGCCATCACTTTCACCACTTGGGTGGACTGTCTTAGTCTTTTATCCCTTCACGTGTAGTTTTTCTTTTTGGTACATAAGCAGCGGAAGGCAATGGAAAGAGTGTAGTTTTTGATGTCAGCGAGAATTAGGATAAAATTCTGGCTCTGTCACTTTTGGAGGAGTAACATTGATTGAGCATTCATGGTGTCAAATGTTTTATCCGTATTAATTCACTTAACAGTGGTAATAACCCTTTGAAGCCCTACTTCATATACAAAGAAATGAAGACACAGAGGGGCTTAAGGACTTGGGGAAGGTCACACCAGTAGTAAGTGGCAGATGAAAGAATTAAACCCAGGAGTGTGAGTCTGAAGCCCACACGCTCACTGTTTACACAGGCTTACCTCCTACCCTTTATTATGTGACCTTGAACTTCTCTGCAAAGTGGAAACTCTTCTCAGAGTTGTGAGCATTACCAAGTATATATACATTAAATGCCTGGCACACTGTAAGCATCTCAACTAACGGTGGCTGCTCACCACTTGAAAATGAATTTTTGTTTCACACAAGTTGAATCTGAGGTGAGGACGGGGCTGCCAGCTAGAGTCGGAATTGTGAGTGTAATAAAGCCCAGTGTTTAGGTGCTGAAGCAGTAAGTTGGCCTGCCTGGACCCAATCCCCTAACTCTGTCACCTGTCATATGACTTGACAAGTTAGTTCACCTGTCTGAGCCTGTTTTTTCACCTATAAAATGGGGATTAAAATAGTACCTACTTTCTTGGTTTGTCTGGAATATATGGAGTGATATGTGGGAAGTGATTAGGAAGAGGGTTTGGACATTGTCACTGCTTGGTAAGTGTAGGTTGTTGTACTAGTGTGTATGGTGGTTGTAATGATAAACCTGTGGTAATGTAATGTTAGCACAAGGTAATAATCTCCTGTGTTAAAGGTTCTTGTAGGTATAAGGTATTGGGGGAAGTAGAAATCAAATCATAACAAAACCCTTTCTTCCCAGTAACTGCACAATCATTTGCCTCATTCCAAGCATATGTCCACCATTGTGCCTGGGGTTTTAAACAGAAAATCCAGCGAAGGGGAGACAGATTCCACCCAACACACCCATAATACGGGCAGTTGGGGGATGTTGCCAGGAAAACGATCGAAGGGCTGGCTACAGGACCTAGTAGATAAAGTGCTCTACGTAAGATATTAGGAAGAATGTTCCCTGTGGGTGAGGTATGTTAAGTCATCATGAAAAGATGTAGAATCTCTTTTTGGGGACAGCATTAATAGGACCAATCTGTTAGGAATGGTCTTTAGTCCTTCACTCAGGAAAAACAATGAGCTGACTTCAAGAAGCACACAGTTCTGTGAAGGTCATTAACTCAGTTACTTGGTGGGTTGCAACTTCTAGCCTTCCAAGGACGGCATTTCACAGGAAGAGAGTGACCATGGGCAGCCCCTTGGTGGAGATGGGGGGACTGATGCGCGCTGACAGGGTACTCAGCTCCCGCACAGACCTGCAAGGAAATTTAGTTGAGATGAAGAAAGGCCTCAAACAAAATGGAACCACTGCAGGTAAGCAGGGAGGCCTGGACACGGGAAATCGCCTGTTTCTCACTGGCAGAAAAGAGGACCTCCGTGAGCTGGCAAGAGCAGTGTCGCTGGAGCAGGCATTCCGGGTTCCGGTTATCAAAGGTGCAGCCACACAGCATCCGAACTGCTTCCCACCACAAGATGGAAATGATTTCCCGAGGGCGAGATCTTTTGCATCGGGCTTTCCCCCATTTCTCCCCGTACAAGTCACTTCTCAAGACCCTCGGGTCTGGGACTGGGAATTCTAGCGCAGACCAGAAAGGGAAGCCAGTGGCCGCCTCTCCAGGGCGCATGACCCTCGCAGGACTGACTTCGCTGGAACGTCCTGGCCATGTCCGGGCCTCCTAGGATGGACTGCACTTCTGGGGCTCGGGGCCTCCGGCGAGGCTGGACTCAGTGGAGCCGGCGTGCAACAGCCTCCGGGGCGCAGAGCATCAGAGCCTCAGAGCCACTTGGGGAACGAGGCCACAGGGGACGCCGAGGGGTGCTGGGGCCGCAGTCCGGAAGCTCGGCTGGGAAGGGCGGGCCGAGCCTGGGCGGGCGTGGGCAGGGCCGGCGGCCTTGGGGTTAATGTCCGCCCCGCCCTGGCCGCACTGACTCAGTTTCACCAGAAACTACGGGGAGGAAGTGGTCGATCCCCAGCGCACCCCGCACCGGGGAGGAAGCGGCGGCCCGAGCCGCTCGCGAAGCCGGGACCGGAACCTCGGCTGGCCGGGCCCCACCCCGCTCACCTGCGCAGGTAACCGGGGCCCGGGAGCGCGAGGTGGAGGCGGAGGCGGAGCCGGCTCGGAGCATGTTTGGCTCTTTGTTCTGCGCTGGTTCGTGTGTCTGGGTACGTGAGCACCTCAGCCGTCCCTCTGGGCGGCCGACGGGCGGCCGCGTCACGGCAGTGTGCGTGGGAGGGCCGGACCCCCGTGCCGTCTACACTAGCGGGGTACCCGGTGCTCCCCAGCCCTCCCCCTGACTCCTCCCGTCCGGCCGCCTTGCAGTCTCCACGGCTGATCCGGTATGTCTTCTCCTCCGTCGCCTCCCCTCTTTAAGGTCGCAAGCACTCTCGGAGTCCAGAGGCCCACACTGTGAAGGTGACCCCGTAGGGAGGAGGGCGACGGCCCTTGCGAGGATGATGGCCGGCGCCCGCCTCTCCCAGGGCCGCATTCCTGCGGTGGCCATGTGGCTTCTGTGCGCGCTCTGTCCCCTGAGCACCCAGGCCGGGCCGCCTCCCTCGCCCCCCGGGTTGCCCGCGGGAGCCGCCTGCCTGGACCGCTTTACCGCCGGGGTGCCTGCCTTCGTGCTCGACACCGAGGCGTCGGTCAGCAACGGGGCCACCTTCCTGGGCTCCCCCACGGTGCGCCGCGGCTGGGACTGCGTGCGCGCCTGTTGCAACACCCAGAGCTGCAACCTGGCCCTGGTGGAGCTTCAGCCCGACGGCGGGGAGGACGCCATCGCCGCCTGCTTCCTCATGAACTGCCTGTACGAGCAGAACTTCGTGTGCAAGTTCGCGCCCAGGGAGGGCTTCATCAACTACCTCACGCGGGAGGTTTACCGCTCCTATCGGGAGCTGCGGACCCAGGGCTTTGGAGGTAAGGACAAGGGGGCTGGGATGGACAGCTTTGGGGAGACTCAGAAAAGGGGGCTAACATCAGAAAGGAGTTAAGGAGAGTCTCATTCTATGCAGCTCCTTGGAAATAGGTGGTAGAAACAGTAAACAAAGTGAGCAGGGAGAGGTGACATCCTAGAGCCCAGACTCTGGCTCCTGAATTCGGGACCTTGAGTGGGCCGGGGCTCTAGGACGTGTGTATGGGAGATAGGAGGCAGCTCCTTGGGATTCGCAACTTCTAGCCCTGATACCCTGAGTGAGCGAGCCTTCCGGAGGCCGCCTGGTGACTAAATAGGCACCCCTGGCCAAGCACTGCCCTAGGTACCTTGAAGCCTTCTCAGATTCGCCTGGTGAAGGATAGCCCCTTCACTGCTGGGCTTGGGATTGGTTAGCATTTCTCTGCAGCCCCTTTGCCCCAGCTGTTGGCCTTTCGGTGGTCTGGGGAAAACTGCCAGACCCCAGATACTAAAGAACAAGCCTAGACTGGGGTTGACCAAAGGGAGGGGTGGGGGGCTGCAGTGTTGTGGGCATAGCAGCCAGAGGCCCTGGAGTAGGGATGAGGAGGTTGCTGGATGAGTCACCCACTGGTTTGTGTACCTGGTAGGGGAGGGATGTCAGCTGTCCAGGCAGTTGTGTGTGCGTGGTGTGATCCAGCAGAGCTCTTCCTGCTTAGGATGTTGTAGCCAAGCTGTCTGCTCACCTTGTTTACTTCCAGGGATAAGGGCAAAGTGGGGCCAGGGCCCCTCTGGAGACCTTCCTTCCCCATTCTCTCCACTTGCTGTTCTAGCCAGGTGGAGCTCTAGGGCAGGGATGGGTCACAACGGATAACCTCTGTGAGCACATCACAGTTTACTGATTTCTGTACCACTCAGCCTCTCACTTAGGCCTCATGATAGGCATTTCTGAAAAGGGTTCTCTTAGTAGTCATCCCACTCTTTAGGTTAGGGAACTGACTCCCAGGTTCAATAATTTACCCAGGATAACACTGCCCATAAATGGGTGACCTAGGAGTCAGCCCCAGGAGGGACCTCCAAAAATCCTGTGCTGTTTTCACACAAGACCACCTTTCTGGGAGAAACCTAGTACCCTGACTCCATATAGCCAAGTGGATAGCAGAACCAGAGACTTGGGGAGCTCAGGGGCCCAGGCTGGGCTGGGGCTCAGTCTGGGCGTTGTTTGGGTTCTAGAAAGTGGAGAGAAGACTTTCCTTTCCAATCTTTCCCTTGCTCATCTCTCTCTGTCAGGTTAAGGGCCCACTCTTCTGCATCTCCTTCCTGTAGCTCTTCTGGGTCTCTTGAGGAGGAGTGGGATGGGAATTCCGGGAAGGGGGCACCATCTCTGGGCCGGCTGGGCCACCAAGTCCTCTTAGGCCAGTGCCTGAGCCTGTTCCACGAGGAAGTGGTGGCGAGTGTAGGTGGTGTTGATTCTAATTGACCTGCCTGTGCCCTTGGTGCTGACAGAAGCCCTCTGGGAGGCCCACTGCAGGGTCAGGGCCTGGAACTCAGGGCCAGTCAAGGAGCAGAGCTGGATGGCTCCACATGGTTTTGGGACCAGCCTTCCTCATCTGGAGGCTCTCACCCCCAGAGAGGCCTGTTTGGCACAAGACAGGGTGGAGCGGGAACTTGCTGGGGTATTTAGGAACTTGGGTAGGGCTTGAACTGAGTGTGAGCTCCAGGCCATTTTCAGGGCACTGCAGTGCTTTGTGTGTGTGTGTGTGGAGGGGTTGCTCTGTGCTTGTTGAAGAATCCGTTCTCAGCTGAGCCCAGCTAGAGAGGTTGGAGGTGGGTAAAAGCAGGGTAAAGCCATCCTGGAAGCGAGGGCAATCTGTGCAGGCAAGGTGGGCGGATCCTCAATGCTTCTAAACCTTTGATTCTCGTGTTGCATAGAGAAATCCTAGTGGCGGGGTCGCTCCCCTTTCCCTGCCGGTGGCCAGGCCAGTCCAGTCCAGTCCAGATTCCAGCAGTGGGAGCACCCTAGCCTCCCTCCTCTCCCCCTCTTTCTGTTGGAGGCGTGGTCTAGGACGTGGAGTTTTTGTTTCCCTGGAGATGCCCTGAGGCCTGGCAGCTGGGGGAAGGGCCGGGTTTATTGCCACTGGCCCTTTGCTCTCTCTGGGTGGGAGGAAGGGAGTGGCAGCTGGCACACCTGCCCCCTTGCTCCCAAATGCGGGGCTTGGGGAGGACTGGCTGTGTGCAGGAGGACACTACCCATCTGGCCAAAGGGCTGGCTCATGCCTGCCTGCCACTGCCATCCTGGGGCCCATGGATTGTCTGCCAGATAGACTGCGAAGTAGTCTGCCTTCTTTCCCTTTTCAGACAGCTGATCACTTTCTTCAGAAATGTCAGGAGGGAGAAACAGGCACCTCCCCACTCACTGTCCCCTTGGCTTTGTCTCTCAGAGGTCACTTCAGGGCCCGCCCCTGTTGGACCCTCTCCTGATTGCCAGCCAAGCCACTGGGGTCTGGGTTGGTTCCTTCCTGCTCTTCTGGTCTTGCTTCCCCTCAATCCCTAGAACCAAGGTCTCCTTTTCTCATTCCTGTAGGCCTCTCCACCTTTTGACATTTTCCCTGGAAGCTACCCCTCCCACCCATTTGCTGTCATTGTGTGTCCCCTGGGCACCCCCCCTTTGGAGAGTGCCCATTGGCTCTGCTTTCTCTGCCTCATCAGAGAGGAATTCCCATGACTCAGCCTCTTGTTATCTGTTCTTATCTCTTTACCTTCTCTCCTTTCTTTGAACTCACTCTTAGGCTTGACAACTCCCCCCTGTAGAGTCTTGATGGAGGGCAGCAGTCATCAAAACTGTAAATGCTCATAACCTCAACACAACTCCACTTGTAGGAATTCATCTTGTGGCTGTGCTTAAACATGTACAAACCAACTTACCAACCAGTTATTCACTGTAGCATTGTTTATGATAACAAAAAATTGGAAACAATTTCAATGTCTGGCAACAAGTCCTATAATTGGTTGCTGTAATGCTGTTTTAATAACAATAATGAACCCTGAGGCAGTATGGTTTAGTCTATAGTAGGGAAAGAAGAAAGACTGTAAATCAAGAAGGGACTGGTAAGTTGGGTAAATAAGTCATAAATGCTGTAACTTCATACAGTGAGTATTATGCAACCCAAAAAAAGGTTCCTCCTAATATATTTTGGAAATCTTTCCATAGCAGCATATTAGGAGGAAAACAAGAAGAACTTGCATGCTTAGAACTTCACTACTGCCTTTCTTGATACACACACACATAAGCTAGTGAGAGCGGTTTCCTCTGGAGAGAGGAACCTGGGGAGTTAAGGAGAAAATGGACTTAATTCTCAATACCCTTTTGTACTTTTTGAATTTCATATCACATATACGTATTAGCTAAGTTAAAAACAAAACCCTCAAGATAGAAGAAAGCAGTCAGAATCATACCTCTGAACAGGTGGGTGACCTGCAACATGGTATTTTGGAAAGAGTGTGAGCTAATGGAGTAGGACTGACCAGGGTTCAAATCCCAGCTCTGCTGTTTAGAAACTGAGTGACCCTGGGCACATCATTTAACCACTGGTGTCAGTTTTCTCACCTGGAAAGAGGGACAAGAATGCAGTTGTGGCAGAATGATTAGGAAGGTAGGTGATGTATATCAGCAGTCAGTAAACTTCTGTAAATGTTCAAATAGTAAATACTTTTAGGCTTTGTGGCCCATACAATCTCTGTTGAAATTACTCGACTCTGCTGTTGTATGAAAGCAGCCGTCTACAATAGGTAAATGAATAAGTGAGGCTGTGTTCAAATATATGGACACAAATTGGAATTTATATACTTTTCACACATCACAAACTATTATTCTTTTGATTTTTTTTCAACCATGTAAAAATATGACAGGTAGTGGGGCCAGGTTTGGTCTACAGGCCATAGTTTGCCCACCCCTGATGGAGATGACATAGGTAAAATACCTCTCATGGTACCCAGCACACATTAAACAAGTAGCGGCTTTGTTAATAAAAATGACTCCAGATCTGTCTCCAACTCTGGCCTCCCTGGAGGTCTTATGTGCAGCTCTACTGCCTATGGTCAGTTCCCCTCTGGATGGTCTTCCCCTCCGGCAAATTCAACCTCTCTGTTACTGAACTGCACATGTTCCCTCTCGATCTGGTTCCCTCCCACCTGTGCCCTGGCTCTTCCTCCCCAGTTCCCAGTGCCCAGCGGGCATGGAGGCCTGAAGTGCCTGTTCAACATTCTTCTCACATCCTCCTTTCCATTCCCCTACCTGTAGTTCAGACCACCCTGTTGCATCTGCCCTGAACTGCTGCACAGGTCCACTTACCCATCTTTCGCTCCATAGATATATAATTCCAAACAGATGGGTAAACAGCTGCTGCCCAGAGCTCAGGAGTGTCCCTGCTGCCCCAGCCCTTGGCCCCTCCCTTAGGACTCCTGGACCTCGGCCCTGCATCCCAGAGGTCAATGTTTGGTGCAGCTTGGCCCCTGGGACTCTATGCCCACTGCTCACAGCCAGTGTCTCTCCCCTTTCTGTACCACCAGTTGTTAAATATGTGAATGCCCCTCCTGCTGTGTTCACAAGCCCTGAGCGAGCAGCCTGGGCTATTGGGGGTCTCTCCCAGCCCAGCTGGTCTCCATGTCCACCTAACCAGTGTTGCAAATTTCCAATACCTTGTTTGGCTCATCATGCTTTCTGCTGCCATTAACAGCACAGTGTATTGTTTCCCACAGCTAAACAAATAAAAACAAACAAAAGAATCAAAACATCCTTCCTCCCTTCTCTGAATGTCCCCTTCCTTGTCTGTGCATGTATTACATAGTGCTTCTTCTTGCTCGGTCTTTTCTCCCATGTGGCTTCATATCTGATCTGTTCAACTGGACTGTGTCCCCTCCAGGGTGGCGCATTAATTCTCTGGCTGCTGAGACAAACTACTATAAACTGGGTGACTTAAAACGACAGAAGTTCGTTGTCTCACAGTTTTGGATACTGGAAGTCTAAAATCTAGCTGTTGGCAGAGCCACTCTCCCTCTGAAGACCTTAAGGAAGGATCTTTCCTTGCCTCGGCTAGCATCTGGCAGCTCCAGGCCTTCCTCTTCCCCGTTGTCACACAGCCTTCTCTTCCTTCACTCTCTTCTCCTCTTCATCTTTTTTTTTTAATAAGGTATCATTGATATACACTCTTATGAAGGTTTCACATGAAAAGCAATGTGGTTACTACATTCACCCGTATTATTGAGTACCCCCCACCCCACTGCAGTCACTGTCCATCAGCATAGTAATATGCCACAGAGTCACTACTTGTCTTCTCTGAGCTACACTGTCTTCCCCGTGACCCCCCCACACCATGTGTGCCAATCATGATACCCCACAATCCCCTTCTCCCTCCCTCCCCACCTGCCTTCCCCAACCCCTTCCCTTTGGTAACCACTAGTCCCTTCTTGGAGTCTGTGAGTCTGCTGCTGTTTTGTTCCTTCAGTTTTGCTTCATCCTCTTCATCTTTTATAAAAACATTTTTCATTATATTTAGGGCCTACCCAGCTAATGATCTCATGTGGAGATGTTTAACATAATTAGTTTGGCAAAGACCCTTTTTCCAAATAAGGCCACATTCACAAGTTTTGGAGTTAACATGTAAACCTGTATCTTGGAGGGTAACTGTTCAGCCCCCTAGAGGCAGGAACTCTGCTTTAAGCTCGTCTCTCTCTCCAGCCCCCAACCCCAGGCTGGAGGAAGCCTCAGGCACGGGCACTGTCAGGTTCAGGGAACGAGGGTGCTCCCACGGGACCCCTTGTAAATGGAGACAGAGTCTGAGGTGACAGTCACCTTGCTCCCATGGCCACTCACCCTGGGACACTAAGGCTTTCTGCTTCGCTGCCTGGGAACTCTGTGCTAAAGGCTTCTCAGCAGCCATCCAGGCCAACAGAGTGAGGGGTGATGGTGTTAATTACACATTTACTTATTTGGCTTTTCAAATATATTATTACTTTAACTTCTCAAAGCAGTTAGCACAAGTACCTGCTTATTGTAGAAAATAGAAATAAGGCCCCCATTTATCTAGCTAGCTAATCTATCTAAATAGGATCAGGTGGCACATGCTATTCAGTAATCTGCTTCAGAAAGCAGGTTTTACAACATAAAAATGTCCTCAGTATTTCAAAGATAAAATAGATCTAAATAGAGAGCAATGAGATGATATAGTGTGAGCTCCTGCCTTCACCCGTGGAGATTGCCGAGTCCTAGGGTGGTCTAGGTGTGGCCCATATTGCACCCCACCTCAGGAGAGATCTAGTGTACTCAGTGAGAGTTGACCCTACCTCAACCTTCCCCCCAGGGTCCCGGATCCCCAAGGTCTGGGCAGGCACAGACTTGAAGGTACAGCGCCAGGAACCCGTGGTGTTGAAGGGTGTGGGGAACACGGATTGGCACCTCCTGCAGGGTGACACAGACATCAGGGTAGAGGTGAGATGTTGGGCTGGCCCCCTGACCCCCAGTTCAGCTCTCTAGGGCCCCATTTCCAGTGCCATAAGCCATCCTGTGGGTCCACACAGGGTGGGACGGATAGAAGCTGAGGATACTTTTAATGCCAAGTCCCTCTGCTCTCTCCAGGAGGTGGGTGTGTGGCTAAGAGGGCCCGGGGCAGCCCAAGGGCACCAAAGGGTTCCAGCCTGATGGCTGCTCTTGTGCACAGAGGAATGATCCAGACCAGGTGGAGCTGTGGGGACTTAAAGAAGGTACCTACCTGTTCCAGCTGACAGTGGCTGGCTCCAGTGAGCCAGAGAGCACAGCCAATGTCACGGTCACAGTGCTGTCCACCAAGCAGACAGAAGGTGAGTTCGGTGGGGGGTGGGAGGCAGCACCTGGAGCCATGCCTTGCTGTTGATTGGCCCCACAGGCCCCCTCACAAGCTTTCCTCCCTCCAGAATATTGCCTGGCACCCAGGAAGGTGGGCCGCTGCCGCGGTTCCTTCCCCCGCTGGTACTACAACTCCACAGAACAGGTCTGCAAGAGTTTCACTTATGGAGGGTGCTTGGGCAACAAGAACAACTACCTTCGGGAAGAAGAGTGCAAGCTAGCCTGCCAGGATGTGCAAGGTGGGCCTCTGGGGTGGCTTTGGGCCTCAGGTGACTCTCCCCCAGGGTAGGTGGTTTCGGTCCACCAGTCAGGGAAGTGGGCGTGAGAGTCCCCACTCCCAGGCTCCCCATCAACTACTCCTTGCTGGTGCCTAGCCCTGCCACCCCTCACTTCTCTGGTTTTTCTCTTCCAGGACCCTCCATGGAAAGGCACCATCCAGGTGGGCTTCGCTCCTTTCCCTGGTCCCCCCACCCTTGCCAGGTGTCCAGGCCATATCATGTCCCTGCCCCTAACCAGGCTGCTTTGGGCCAACGCATTCCTACCTCATAGGCTGTGGAAGGGCCACATGCACCCCACCCTTTGCAGCCCAACACCCTCCTTTCAGGATCTGCCCAGTTGGCATGTAGGAATGTTCAGGCAGGGCATGGGAGTGGTGGAAGGGGATCAGGGGACATGCCATGATACTGTGTGGGGGTTGAGAGGACCAAGTAGGTGATAGACTTGGTGCTTGCTCGCTTCTGCTCCATCCTGACCTTCCTCTGCCCGGAACTGTCCCCATGCAGTATGCTCTGGCACTTGTCATTCCACCCAATTCCGCTGTAGCGATGGCTGCTGCATCGACAGCTTCCTGGAGTGTGATGACACTCCCGACTGCCCTGACTCCTCCGATGAGGCCACCTGTGAAAAATGTGAGGCCTGGGATATGGAGGGGCAGTGGGCAGGAGAGGTGGGATCGACTGCTCACCCTGCACCCCAGGAAACCCTTGTTAGACCTGTATCTCTGATCTTTCCTCTTTGCAGACACCAGCGCCTTCGAGGAGCTCCAGAACATCCATTTCCCCAATGACAAAGGTGAGCAGCTCCCAAGGCCCTGGGCCAGGGCAGATGCCAGGCTCTGCCATCTTACTCTCCCCATCGGTGTGCCAGGGGAGGTAGGGGGTTGCTCTGTGTGCCAAGCTGTGGGCAGAAAGAGCCAAAATAGGCTCCTGGGCTTCCTTTTCTGGCTCTGTGTTTCCCAAGCATCAGTCATCCTCTTAACACCTTCAGAAATTTAGCCATGCCCACGTATCACTGAGATGCTGTTTACTTAATATTTTTTGTATGTCAGTTGATTTTTAACTTAATGTATTAAAAAGGAAATTGCCCATCACTACCATAAATGGAAATGCCATTCACTATTGAGACTGACTATTAAAATAAGTATAATAAAACAAAAAGTTTTAGCCAGACATTGTTGCCTGCTAAGGCTCAGACCTGAGCCTTCCTTGTTAACAGTAGACTATGAAGTCCTGGAGAGGAAATTGAGACCCTGACAGAATCAGGAAAGTTGAAAGAAAACTAAAAAGGAAATAGTTGCATGAGTCAGTGTAGGGTGTTTTGGTGCCTAAGATTATTGCCCAAGATTTGTTTTCCTGGCTCTGGCAAGACTCTAGATGGGCCAGATATTTCTAGGTCCCCCAAGGCCCACACTGAGTCCTACTGTCCCTAGTATGAGGCAGCCTGAGGGGTGGCCAGCAGCAGCCCTGTGCAGTCTGGGAATGGTCTGGGGGGGCCCTGTGAACTCATTCACCCCTGTGCCTGCTCCTTCCTCCCAGGGCACTGTGTGGACCTGCCATACACTGGCCTCTGCCTGGAGAGCATCCCACGCTGGTACTACAACCCCTTCAGCGAACGCTGCGCTCGCTTTACCTACGGTGGTTGTTACGGCAACAAGAACAACTTTGAGGAGGAGCAGCAATGTCTTGAGTCCTGTCGTGGCATCTCCAGTGAGCCGGGCAGTGGTGGGGGGGAGACGGGGAGCGGGAAGTCTTAGCTAGAATGCCCAGCTCTGTCCCGAAGCCTGGGCTGGTCACAGCTGGTACTCCCTGGAATGGGGGTGCAGGAGGACGGCAGTGGTAGTCTGGGGCACTAGGAAGCAGCTGGTCTCAGAGCCCTTAGTATTGACTTGTCTCTCCCCATCGTTTTGTAGAGAAGGATGTGTTTGGTCTGCGGCGGGAAAGCTCCATTCCCAACGTAGGTAAGCTCTGGTCTGCCCTGTCACCAATGAGTAGCTGTCAACTCAAGAACCCACAGGATGGGTTGTGACTGCCTAAACCTGTGTTGAGGGGGATCCAAGGCTGGCTAAAGGGACAGTGTTCCACAATCAGCAATACTTGCCATGGGCAGGGGAGGAAGGGACAATAAGGTGCGTGACAGATGTTTGCCGTCAGAGCTCCTGATGGAGCCGTTCAGCCGCCCTTGTGCTAGAGGTCCTTCCACACCAGGCATGCATTTGACTTGGCCCTCTCTTTACCAAGTAGGGGTGGGCATCAGAACTGAGCAGGCCCTGGGAACCCCTCATGAGCCCCCTTCTTCCCCTAGGCTCCATGGAGGTGGCCATTGCAGTGCTCCTGGCCACCTGCATTGTGGTGGTAGTGGCTATCCTGGGTTACTGCTTCTTCAAGAACCAGAGAAAGGGCTTCCACAGATACCGCCACCGCCACCACGATCCCCAGCCCCCTACCCCTGCCAGCTCCACAGTCTCCACCACCGAGGACACGGAGCACCTGGTCTATAACCACACGACGCGACCCCTCTGACCCTGGGGCTGCCCTGACCCTCCGGCTGGGCTCTTGCCATCTCTCACCTGGCCTTGCTTCCTCCTTGGGGACAGAGGCCTGAGCGAGGAAGACTGGGAGCAGAGTCCTCAGAGGCCCACCCTGCCTCTGAGGCCCACCCTGCCTCCGAGGCCAAGGCTCTAGCCCCTCCCTCGGTTGTCTCCGACAAGCTCAGGCCTCCTGCTCCTGAGAAAGCTCTGGGATCTGGGAGGAGCAGAAAACCTTTGATCCCAGGATCCCACACACAGATGGACCTGTCTGCCTAGGATTTCAGGGGAAGTTTGAGTTTCCTGTTCAGAGCTGCTTGCCCCACCCCCAGGGCACTGGGAAGGGGCTGAGGTGGTATCAGAAGCTGGCCCTCCCTCTTTGCACCATCCAGGGCTGGGAGGAAGGGGCCTCCCTGTATATTTTCTGCTGTACAGAGTTGCTTTTTGTTTATTTAATGCCATGGGTGTAGGTGAGAGGAGCAGCAAGTGGCCATGTAGCCTCTGCCACTTGTTCCCTCCCCGTAAAGAGTGAACCTCGATCTGGTCTAGCCCAGCACAAAGAGCCAGACCCCCACAACCTCCCTACAACTCGAGGGCTCTCCGGCATCACACTCCCAACCCGCTCCCATACTTCTCACAGCCCCCAGTCCACCCCCAGTGTAATAAAACGGTTTGTCCTGTGAGGCTTCTGTCTGTGCTGTGGCCCGGAAAGGACCGAGCTGCTTGGAGCGGGGGAGGTGGGACCGCCCTGTCCAACTGGTTCAGGCTTTGGCCACCTGGTTTAGCAGGTTTTCCCACCCTTCCCTAAACTGCCCCAGCCCCTGCGGGTGGAGAGAAATACCAGGTTTGACCACCAGAGGGGAGGGGTGAGGGCCATGGGAGTGGCGGCCCAGGGAGACTGCCAGGCTGATAAAGATTACTCTTGGCTTCAGCCTGTCAGCAGGCTTTGTTCAGTAGCTGGAGCAGGTCTTCAGTGCAGTGTGTGGTTGAGTACTGGGGAGGAAGGAAACACAGGCTGGAACTCTGGTTCTTATCTCCACTCCCTGTAGTGTCGGGGTAGGGACAGGAGGCCCGTGTGGCCCAGGTCACTGCTGTCCTCTGCGCACTCACAGATGCCTTGGCTTCTCCATAGGAGTATAGCTACTCTCCAAGTTCTGCACGTCTGCCCAGGAGCCCTGAGTTGAGGTCCTACTCCATCCCACACCCTTCATTTGTTTGAGCCACCTTTTGTTTGGTGCCAAAAAAAAAATCCCTTTAGTTCACTTCTTTATTTATTTAATAAATTATTTATTAAGCTCCTATGCTCCAGGTACCACTAACCATTACAGATTTAGTATTGTCAAGATAAAACATATAGCAAGCATTATGTCATGCTTTACATGTCTCAACTGCCTGCACGGAACCCTGTGTCAAGGCACTGTTACTATCCCATTTTACACATGGGGAAACTGACTCAGCAAAGTTGAGTTCTCAAGGTCCTAGAGCTGGTACTGAAGGACCAGATTCAAACCCTAACATCCAGAGTCTAATCTTAAAACTTAAAAAGAGATACTTTTAGATGATGATAAGTGCTACGAAGAAAAAATGGCAACGTGAGAGGCTAGGGGCTGCTTTTAAACAATTGGAGTGTAACTGATCTTTGAGTCCCAAGTGTACAGCCCAGTGAATTTCCATAACTGCACATCCAGAAGGCAAGTACCCAGATCAAGAAGCAGAACCTTATTAGCATCCCAGGATGGGCCTTCTTTTGATGGGTAACATACTCACCCCTTTGTGTATCTGTTATGCTCAGCCTAGGCCAGCTCCCCATTTCTCACCTTTCAGCCTAAACTCAAGTTCTTATTTCAGAAACCCTCCTTCATACACTCAGGTGGGGGACACTTACTGCTCCACACCCCTGTGTCTACTAATAGGACCCTGAGCATAGAGCACCCTGTTTTCCTTTCCATTTACTTAACTGTCTTCTAGCTAGGTTGTGAGCTGCTGAAGATGGCATCTTAGCTGTCTCTGTCTCCAGCAGCACATTCTCCCTCTGTGACCTTGCTGATTGGTAGTGGTTTGATAAAAGTTGAGTGCTTGGCAGGAGGTGCGGCTCATTGCCATGCTTTGGCTGTCCCCATTTCTCAGGGCACTATATTTTTGCTTTCTCCTTTACCAGCTACTCATCCATCCTTCAAGGCTCAAAACAGGCTGGGTTCCTCCTCTGCTCTTCCCAGCGCTAGTAACAACCTCCATTATCACTTAGTTCTGCATGAGAACTTCCAGGGCTGAGATTGTTAATGATTCATTAAAGTCTATCCCAATGCCTAGAACAGTCGTCAACACAGAATAAGTGCTTCATAAGTGTTTGTTGGACAGAAGGGAGCACCCTCCTATTGGAGGGGTAGAGCTGAAGTGAGATGATGCCAGCAAAGTGCCATCCTCAGCGCCAGCTGCTGGAGTGGAGGGAGGGCACAGTGGGTCAGTTCTGGTGACAGGTGAGATTTGTGCAGGGGCCACTAGGGTGTGCTCCCTGCCACTGGGTGCTGTGCTCTTTGCTGCAAGGGTTTGAGTACGTACTCTGGGACAGGTGTCAGGTGTGGAGCACTGAAAGCTGAGGCACAGCCCCTGCTCTTTTGGAGCTAACACTCCAGAGTGCAGGTAGGCAGAATGCAAATACTGTAACAAAATAATCTGGCCCTCAACTACTCCTTATCTCTGTGGCTTTCCCAGCTGTCCTCAGCACCATCCCCACCCAAGTGACTCCCTTTCTCAGAACTTTCATGCTTCCATTCTTTTGTAAAGCTGTTGCCTCTACCTCAAATTTGTCTTTGCCCTGGGAAAGCTCCTGCTTACCCCGTGATGTAACTCAAAAAGCCGTCCCTGTTTCTCCAGCCGAAGTTCATTGCGGCCCTCTCTATTCTCTCATGCAGGACATGGTCCTGCAGCATACATGGCCCATGTTAGTAGGCATCTGCCTGCACCTGGACTCCTTGGGACAGGAACGGAGGGTGGGGTCTTATTTATCTCAGCCGTTATGCCAGGACCACGTGTGGATGGATACAAGGTATCTAATAAATGGCTGTTGAATGAGGCAGAGATTAGTCAAGCCTTGGAGATTGAGGGGCAGGTTGAGATGTGGCTTCATGGGGGATGTATAAAATGAGATGGGCATGTGAGCATGGGTGTTCCAGGCATAACAAAATCATCGTGAGCCGAAGCTGGGCAGTGGAGATCATGAGTCTCATTTTAATTGGGAACCAGCAAGCTGCTTCGCTTGGCTCACACTGAGAGGGAAAGCTGGGAGGCTGGTGGGTAGAGTTCATGCTGGTGGACACTTGGAGGTTTGAACAGGGGAAGAAGTGATTCAGACTCAAGTTTAAAAAGTGGACAGGTAAGCAGGCCATATCACAGGTCACACCACAAGGAGAGGGAAAGAGGGAGGAAGCCACACCAAATAAGTCAGGCAGGGTAACTTATGTGACGTGTATAGTAGAAGCACAGTGAAGGCTAGTTGAAAGGCTGCACACTGCAGCCAACATACTTTGACTCAAACAGTGGCTTCATTTATTTAATTACTAAGATTTAAAGAGTCAGAAAACTTCATTTTTTTTAAAAACCTGTATTTCTAACTTGTGAAAAATTGGGAGTCTGGCAATCAGGCCCACATTCCTGTAGCAGTCCAGGCTCTGAGTTCAAGTCCTCAAAGCTGCTCAGGCACTAAGTCATCCATAGCTCCCCCAGCTCCAGTCTGCTGCTCTCAGAGTTAGCTGCCTGCCTGGGGCTCCAGGCATTCAACTTTGGGACACCCTGCTGCCCCCCATCATCTTATCCCTTAGTTCTGCATATATCGGGACGTTTTCTCCAAAACTTGTGGGTCCCAACAGTTCAAATAAACGCTGATTAAGAACTGGGTTGTTTCTCCCAGACCCATCCCTGCCCATTTAAACAAACAGCCCTGAATGAGCAGTGGTGTGTTTTGCACAAGATCACTCCCTTCCCCACCCAGCCACAGCCCCACTAAAGCCTGGGAAGGCACTTTTCAGCTCCCCCTGGGAGGGTTTGTTGTCAATACCACCACTTGGAACTCCAAACCCGGAAGCCCAGCTTCAGCTCTGGAGGAAGTGGTGAGGGCAGAAACTCCCACAGATTCTCTGTGAGTGTCCACCTCTCTTTCCCCCACCTGCTCTGGCTCCTGGGGGTTCTCTGAGCAGAGAACCAGAACCCAAGCCCAGAACCAGGAGAAAATAAACCGGGAAAGAAAGGCCCCTTGTTGTGGGGTTAAGAACAAAAGTTCTGTGTTCAGAAAAACAAAACAAGACTAGGGAAGGATATTTACCCAATGTCCACAGTGTTCTCTCTCATTGACAAAATTACAGGTGGTTTGTGTTTTCTTCTTTTTGTCAACTTACCTCTTCTAAATTTCCTACGATGAGTGTCTATTGCTTTTGTAATAGGAAAAAGTTATTTTGTTCATGAGGCCATGAAGCTCAGATGGGATACAGATGGTGGAGGGCAGGGGGGAAGAAGAGCGAGCTTCTGGAGATCCGAGAAAGGGAAGAGCTCTGAGACTTGGTACCAGGTTGTACAGGAGAGCTTGCGTCGGGGGAGCCTTGATGTTTTCTGTCCTGGGAGCCTGGATGGGGGTCAGTGCCACCAACAGGAAAGGTCGGGTGGACGAGGGGGCAGCTTCAGGAGAACCAGGCAGAAGGTGAGGGGCCCTCAAGGATCAGATGAGGCTGGTTTTATTGATTTCAGTGCTGATAACTTGGTTTTATTTGCTTTTGCCTTGCTTCATGGGGGAAAATTTAAAGGCAGCTTAAAAGGTCTATAAATACGAAAGAAGGTGAGTATAACATAGGAACTACATAAAAAGAGCAAGAAGGAACATAAAATAGGGCCAGGAACAAGGCAAAGACATGAGTCCTGCAGCCTCGGTCTCCGGGCCACCCGGCCAGCTCTGAGTGCTCCAGCTGTGGCACATGCTCATGGGGCCCAGAGCACTCCAGAGGTAAGGGGTCTGGGCTTGGCAGAAGGACGGAGCTCCTGAATTTGGGACTGGGCTGTGTAAGGGTGAAACAGAGGGTTGGGGAGATGAATGAGAGAGACAGAGCCTCTGCCTGGAGGAAGAGGATGCAAGGAGGGGTGGCCACAGGGGTGATGGGAGAACCAGGAAGAGAGCAGTTCAGAGGCAAGGAGTTTCAAAGCTTGCCAGGGTCAGGAAGGAGGAAGCTGGGATGAGGAGCCAGCTGGCTATGGATGGTTGAGAGGGTCACACAGCCGAGGAGCCAGGTAGAGCCTAATGGGGGCAGGGAGACAAGCTGAGTGGAGGCTGCAGTGGGTGCTGTGGCGGGGGGGAAGAGAGCAGCTCCCTGCCACCAAGAGCTGGGTAGAGGAGAGGCCTGCGCTGAGTTCCAGACGTGGAGGGAGAGGCTGAAGCACAGGGAGAAGGAAACACTGATGGGGCACAAAAGATGGCATGGATGACCCACTAATTCACTTGGGGTTGTCGTCTCAGTGGATTTGCTCTGACCGCCTTATCTGCTCCTGAATGATCCCCTTTGCAACCAGTGTATGATCTTGGGTTAACCAGGAGGACCACGGGTAGTCTGTGGCCCCCAAAGAAGGGTCCGTAGTGATCTATGAAAAGTAAAGGACTTGAATTACATGACAGGATCCTTTCTATCCCAAAACTGTGATAGGATGTTGGCTCCTGATTACAGACCCTAGGGCCCTCTGGGTGCAAAGCTGGGGTAGGCTGTCTGAGTCAAGTTGTTGAGGCCCAGAGAGAGTCAGTGACTGGCTCAAGGTCACACAGCCAGTGGTTGGGGGCAGTGCTAAGCCTAGGGGTCAGTGTTCCTGAGCCCTAAACTTTTTTTTTGCACTCATGTCTCATCTTCTCTGGACAACCAGACTCCTGGCTTTGGTTTCTGTCCTTTCTCTGGAAGTGGGACAAAGGAGCCAGGAGCCAGGCCAAGAAGCTGTCAGGGCTGGTCCCAAGCCCCTGGAGGCTGGGAACCCATGGTCCACACCCATGTAAACACAGGCCAGCCCTGATACCTCTTACTTGGCTCTCGATAGCTTCCTTCATATCAGTTCTCTGGCTATTATCTAGCTTATCCCTGCAGGTCCCCTGGAAGCCAGGGAGGGGCAGAGAGTATTAACCCCACTTCACAGCTGAGAGAAACTTAGACAAGGAGGAAGGCAGTCATTTTCACAAAGTTGCCCAGCAAGTCAGGGATGGGGCTGGAAGAGGCAGCCCCAGGGGAGACAGGGGGTCAGTAGAGCATGTGGCCCGTTGGGCAGGGGTGGGGTAGTGCCATAGGTAGAAAAATGCACACAGCCCCAGTAATCAAGGGGCCCCCCTCACCAGGAGAGTGATCTTGCTGTCTCTGGAGGGACGCCTTGGGGGACAGGCGCTGCTTGCTCCCAGCTAGTACAGGGTCCCAGAGAGGGAGAGAAGACGGTCAGTGGCAGTGGAACTGGGCCACAGAGAACAAGGCCCGAGGGAGGAGCCATCGTGGCTGTATGTCCCCAGCTGGGGTCTGCGAGGCCCGCTTCTCTGCTGGCTTCAAGGGGCCCAGGGAACCCCTATGCCTACACAGGGACAAAAGGGCCCCTGTTCCTCCTGCCAAGATGCCCAGGAGTCATCTGGACAGCCAAGGGGAGAGGCAGATTGGCGAAGGTGAGGGTCAAGGAGGCAAGGGAGATGGTGACAATGGCTGGCTTGGTAAGGAGGGTGACGATAAGCCAGGGTTGTTAACAGAGCTTCTGTTCAAGCTCAGAAAGGTTTGAATCTGACAGTGACTTCCACAGTCGTCCCAATCACGGGGCAAGTCCTCTGTCCCATGGAGAAAGCCTGAACTTCCCACAAGGGAGGGAGGTCTGGTTCAGCGTTCTCATCTCTGCTCACGTCTCACCCCAGCCCTGCCTCCCTCTGCCCGACTCCTGGCCGAGGACAACCTGTCTGTCCCATCAACTGTGCTTCTCAGCCCTGGCCTCTAAGAGAACCACAGTTAGGGGACAGACCAGAAAGAGGCCTGGACCAGGGGTAGGAAACCCAAGTGGGAGGCTGAGCTCCACCTTCTCCTTGGCCATATGCCTCTGTGCTTTGGTCTCCTCATCTCAAAACTAGAGCTAATAAGAGCCATCCAGCCTATCCTGAAGTTCAGTTGTAAGAACAGGAGGCGATAATGGAGGGGATAAGGCTGTGTAAGCATTGCTGCATGCAGGGACAGAAAACAGTGGTACCCGGGAACAGCCAGCACGGCTCAGAGTCAGGAAGTCACCCCTTGCTGTTGCCACAGGGTGACTAAGTGACCCCTCAGCTGGCCGAATTCTGCTCACCAGACGATCTGGCCCAGACCCAAGGAGGGCGCTGACAGTGCAGCCCTGCTGGGAGCTGGGTTTCCTGGCAGCCAGGCACAGTGGGCAGGTCTGACCTGTGGGAGCCTCAGTTACTGCCTGGGGCCTGGGCTGGTTGCAGAAGGGGCTGGTGCTCCTGACGCAGTCTGCTCTCAGTCTCACTCATTCTCTCGACTGGTTCCCAGGAGAATGGGGAGCTCGGAGAGGGTGTGTCACCTCTGCCCTGGGCACCACTCTACTCCCATGGGGAAAACAGGCAAGGCACAGCTCCTTCAGATATGCACCCAGCCACCCACCAGCCCAGGCTCGGCACGCACACCCTGCACAAAGATACCCCCCACCCCTGACCCAGAGATCCTCACAGAACTGAGCCTAGGCACACACAGACACAGCACACAGTCCTCAAGAAACTCGGCCCGACCTAGATGTGCACACACAGGCACCAAGACCAGCATACATATCCAGATGCACACATAGGGCTGTGTATAATATACACTCCTAAGGGCAGCCATCACATGGATACACAGACATATATGTGCAGAGTTATCCACATCTTACAGAAAGAGAGACACCCACATTTACAGACAGATACACAGACTTGAACATATATGGAATTATTCCAATTTTTGCACAAAGACAATACCCACTTTAAATATGCAAGAGCAAAAACAGGACACAGAGAAATGTACACAAACACAAATATATAGTATATATATATACCTCATCATCATTAAGTATTTATCAAACACCCACAGTCTGCTAGTCATGCTCCCACAGAAAGAGCCCACCCCCCAATCACACATACATAGAAATCCAAGGTAATCAGAGCCACTCAGGGTTAGACTGGGGCCCTGGCCTCCAAGCCAAAGATGAACTTTATTTCTGTAGGTAGTTACCAACTCATGGTGGGAAAACTAATCAACTGTCAATGTAGTCTCATTTATTTTTCTTTATTAAGGTATTATTGATATACACTCTTATGAAGGTTTCACATGAAAAAACGTGATTACTACATTCACTCATAGTATCATGTCCCCCCCATACCCCATTGCAGTCACTGCCCATCAATATAGTAAGATGCCACAGAGTCACTATTTGCCTTCTCTGTGCTACACTGTCTTCCCCATGATCCCCCCGACATCATGTGGACCCCTCAATCCCCTTCTCCCTCCCTCCCTTTTGGTAACCACCAGTCCCTTCTTAGAGTCTGTGAGTCTGTTGCTGTTTTGTTCCTTCAATTTTACTTCGTCATTATACTCCACAAATGAGGGAAATCATTTGGTACTTGTCTTTCTCCACCTGGCTTCTTTCATTGAGCATAATGTCCCCCAGCTCCATCCATGTTATTGCACATGGTAGGATTTGTTTCTTTCTTATGGCTAAATAGTATTCCATTGTATATATGTACAAACCTTCTTTATATATTCATCAGTGTAGTCTTATTTATAATAGGGGAAAAAAGTTAAAACAAAACAAACAGCAGGCCCCCAAATGGGGATCTACTTGAAGAAGTTATGGTCAGGGTGAAACAGTAAGTAAACATACACATCTGGTTACAGCCTCCAGTCATAGTTTATAACATGAAAAAGCACTTAGAATTTTAAATGAAAAACAAAACAAAATTGTATAAAAATCATGATAAAAAATATCTGGTAAATTTTTTATTTTCTAGTTCTTTGGATTTTCTATTTTTTGTATGAGTATTTATTATGGAAAAAACAAACTTTAAAAAATCAACTAAGGGTTGGTTACACAGACATTACAAAAACAATTCATAACAATAAAGACATATGTAAGAATATATAAGAAACATACCATTTTATCCAGTTAATATAATCAATATTCCTTTAAATTTAGATTCAAGAGTGGAGAAAGCAGGAACAAAGAGGCACAGGAAAGAGAGATAAAGAGATAAAAACAGAAAAGTAGAGAGAGACCATATTACAGAGAGAGACAGAAGCAGAGTGAACCAGTAGGTTTGGAAGCAGAGGTAAATCCCCCTTGTCCTGCGCAGGCTTGGGCCCATCGCCGCTGAGGATATTTCCAGCAAACTATTGCTCTTAGGCCTCTCTCTAGGCTTCAGAAACACAAAACGTGGAGCTGAACTTGATCCTCAGGGTCCCCTCCATGGCTCACTGGTAGGCTTTTATCTTATGTGCTTAAGAACCAGCAGCAAACACTGCCTGAGCCCGGCCCTGTGGGAACAGTATGCTGAATGTGCTGAATGGAATTTTCTATTCAGCTGGGGAGATGCAGCCTGAGTGAGTGACCAAATTCAGATTGCTCTCAAGGGCTCAGAGAGCAGTGTGCACACTAATACAGGTAAGAGATGCTTCCTGGAGAAGTGAAGTATTGGAAATAGAGAAGAAATAGCCTCTGGGGAGTAGGGGGAGGGAGTACTTTCCAAACTAGAGGATTTGGCAAAAGCGAGGAGATGGATGGAGTCAGAAGTCAAGAAATAATTGGGGATCAGAGAGTGGGGATCACTAGGACAAGCTGGCCTGGTTCAGGTCGGTGTTCAATTTCTGAAGGCCCAGAGTGCTGAAATGAGCTGAAAGTTCACTGACCCAGTGAGAGCTAGAAAGAGTCTGCGTTGGGGAGATGCCCGAGGGAAGGCAGCACTGGAGGGACTGGAGTGGGGACGGAGTGGGTACAATTGGGATGTGAGAGCCTCAGGACCTGGCTGCAATGGTGCAGCTCAGTACCTCTACCTGAGGGGGCGAGGGGACTAAGGAAGATGAGGCTGGAGATCTGGGGATGGGCTCTCATGGGGCAAGAGCCAGTCTTAGCTAAAACCCAACTTGAGGTTTCACTTCGTTAGGATTTGTGTCCCTTAGCCATGTTCTTTCCCACACACAAGCAGAGCTTAACTTCCTGTGCAGGGAGCTGGGCTGGGACAGGCTGAGTGCTCACTTGCCTGGCAGGTGTCCCAGGTGTGCATTAGAAATACCTCTCCATAGGAATAACACCCGAGTACTCAACTCTGGAGCTTGCAAAGTGCTCCTACTGCTACTTGGTGATATTTTCAACTTTTTTCTTTGGGCCTCACTTTCCTTATGGGTAAAATAAAGTGGCTCCCCCTAAAGTTGCCCTTCAAAGTTCCTTCCAGATCCAATTTCAAGGAGTGTTCTTTAGATCCCTGCTCCTCTCCAAGCTCTCACCCAATGAACTCTCACTCCCACAGGATTTCTAGGACCAAACATCTATTTAAATTGTTGGCAAACAGCACCCTGACCTTCCCTAGTCATATGTGAGTTTTGAGTGCCAAGACTGAAAGCTGGGTCCAATTAACCCAAGTTCAAGAAGTTTGGCTAGTGGCTGAGGTTGAGGCTGTATGGGGCCCCTTTGTGCTCAGGCTCCGAGCCAGGGGGGCCCCCCAACCTGAAACCTTGGACCCTGTGGTCAGCTGGAAGGAGCAGAGGAGGGGTAAAAGGCTCAGGATTGCCCCAGAGCCCCAGTGCTGAGAGTAGTGCTCTAGAAAGTCGGGGGGGAGGGGCACCATTCACCAGGTGAGGTCATGGGAAAGGAGCTCTGGCGGTGACACCTGGGGAAACCCGTTTCCAGGCTGCTTCCCACGCTAGCTCTCCTGAGAACCAGCTAAGCCCCAAGTGGGGAGCCCCAAACCTGCCTCCCCAGTCCAGTTCCCATCACTGTCCCGTCTAGTCCAGCCACCACCTTTCAACCTAGCCTCAGTCCCTAGCCTGCCTATCCATGCTGTTGGGCATTAAGGAGGGACATGAGAGTGATGGGATGGCCACTCCAGGAAATGACGCAGAGACAGCAGTTTCAGAAACTTAAGGCTTTATTTGCAGACTCTGCACTGCCCTGCCTACTAGGCTGTGGCCTTGGAAAAAGTAGTGACGCCCCCCACCCCTCAGCCCCTTCTTCCTTCAGGTTCTAGTTTGCAGCTCCTGCCCCTCCTCCCGCTGGGCTTTGCCTCTCACTTCCTGCCCCACTCCTGGCCCAGCCAGTTTGGGCAGTGCCTAGGGAGCCCTGAGACCCAGTTCTTCCCAGGCACCAGCCCCGCCCTCCCTGGCCTTGGGGGTTGAGGGCAGCTCAGGTGTCAGCCTGGCTTCTCAGCTGCCCCACTCCTCTGCTTTCCTCGTCCTTGCTCTTCCTCCTTCCAGGCCTAGCTCTCTGATCTGCCTCCTCCTTCTTAGCCTGCCTCTAGTCCCAAAACTCTAAGGCCTCACTTTCTGCTCCCTCTTAATCTCTCACTGTCCTGTCTTACCCAGTCCATCCCAAACTTCTCTCCAAATCAGAGCTGGACACCTTCCAGCCCTCCAAGATGCTCCGTTGTTCCTGGATCTCTTCCTTAGCCCTGTGCCGAGGGGGGGCTGGGACCACCACAAGGGGTCCTAATTCAGCCAGGCTGACCTAAGGGCCTATTATAATAAACTGGGAATTGTATCCCAAACTGCTTGGAGGTGGTTGACACTGTTAAGACTATCCCATAAAATCAAAGTGCTAGAATTTCTCTGTGAGCCTTGAACACAGAAATCCAAGTCAGAACTTTCCCTCTTCTAGGCCCTAGGCTCACCTGGCATGTAAGACTGGGCAGTCAGAGACCCACGTCCTCACAGTGTTCAGAAGGGAACGGTCCCACAGGATGGCCTGTCCCTGCCAGTAGCCCCTTCTAAGGCCCCGCCATACCCCAGGTTCCAGTAGTCTGTGGCTTTATGCCTGCTACTCCCTGCACTGGCATTGCCATTCAAACAAAGCAGAAGAACTTCTTCCAGCGGCAGCGGGAAAGGGTGCGCACACCTTTGGCATTCAGTTTCTTCTCCAGCCGGGCTTTGTGCTCAATGGCACTGAGAATGGCCGAGTCAAACACCTCCTTCAAGTTCTTCTGGGTCAGGGCAGAGCACTCGAGGTAGCAGCAGGCCCGGATCTTCTCTGCCAGACCCTGAGCCTGGGGTTGGGGCACGGGGCCCTCCCGACCTCCCTGGTCCAGCTGAATCAGTACATTGACATCATCCCTCAAGTCGGCCTGGGTGCCCACTAGCAGCACAGGCGCCTGGGGGTTGTGAGTGCGGATCTCTGGCAGCCATTTCTCTGTGATGTTTTGGAAGGAGCTGGGCTGCACCACGCTGAAGCAGGCCAGGAAGACATCAGTATCCGGGTAGCAGAGGGAGCGAAGGCAGTCAAAGTCTTCCTGGAATGGGAAGGCCAGGTCATTAGTAGGAATATTCCCGTTCACAGGGGGCAGGAATCCGATTGTCACCTGAGGCTGGAGGCCTGAGACTCATAACCAAGGGCCCAAGGCTTTCTTTATTCCTGATGGATCCAGGTCCTCCCAGCCTCCAGCCCACCTTCCCCCAAGACCAGTAGAGGCCGCTCCCAGCTTCTCACCTGTCCTGCCGTGTCCCAGAGCTCAATGCGCACTGGGGCTCCATCCACCAAGACTTGTACTGTGTGGGTTAGGGGGAAAGCCAGGGTTAGGAAGACCCGTTAGGGCCCCACCAGCGCCACCTCGGAGCCCACGCCCTCCTCCGCCCTACCGGGGGGCCTCCGCACCCGCCGTACACAACCCCATCTCCATCCACGCGGCCGCCCGGGCCGCTGGACGTACCAGAGAAGGTGTCCAGTGCTGTGGGCCGGTAGCGCGCGGGGTACCCATTGCAGGTATAGCTGACGATGAGGCTGCTCTTGCCCACGGCGCCGTCGCCCACCAGCACGCACTTGATTCCCAGCTCCGGGGACGCGCTGCCCCGTCGCGGGGGAGGAGTCGGGGCCCGGAGCGGAGACGACTCGGCCTCGCTCAACTCTCGCGGGGGCATGGCCCGCTCCGGGGACAGTCCGGGACCGGGCGCCGCTGTGCTCGGTGAAGCAGGTTCTGCGGCTGCCTCTGAGTCAGCGGGCCTGGCGCGCAGGCCGGCCGGCCGCTACACGTGGGTATATATGGAGGCCCCGCCCACTTCATCTACATAGCCCCAGCAGCCCCTGACCCCGCCCACTCCCCTGGCCACCTCCGGGATCTCCTTCTGCAGCGCATCCCACCACGCCTAAAGATCTCTTAACATCGGAGTAAGAGTGCCTGCCTAGCCAAAAACACGCTCAGAGAAGCACACAGGTACAAGGACAAAGAATCACCAAAATGAGGCAGATCTAAGTATCTTGGCAGAGAAAGAAATTGAGGATTTATTGTTAGGAAGTTCTGTTGCATGTTCAAATTAAACCTTTGTTCAAATTAAAACAGAAAAACTAGACATAAGTTGTATGAGTATATAAAAGCCTGGAAAATAATTTTGTTAATTAAAAAATGGTTTTTTAAAGTGTACATATCATGAAGAGGCAGAAGGTAACTCAAGAGTGAGCAGCACAGGCAGGAATGTTTGGTACTCCCCTCCGTGGAAGAGCTTCCTTTAAACTGGGGCCTTTAACACCTTCACTCTGCTCTGCTAAAGGAGCTCAGAGTGCTAGAGAAGCTAGCTGGGGAAGACCTTCAAGGACAATTCTCCATTTGAATATAATTCGCCCAGTCTCTAATACTGTCTTCATCAGCATGGTCAAAAGCACATAGTAATTAACTATTTGCTGGTGCGCTCTGGGCCACCCACTGTTCTTGCCTCAGAAGGAGTTTACAGAGGAGACAAGGTATCTCGGGTAGTTCTAGGAAGGTCACCAAGAGAGCCAGGGAAGAGTAGGTAATTTCATCTTTTTGTTGCAGCCACACCAAGTGATGCCAGGCCTGAATTCTTTTACTGACCTCCAAGGAGATCTTTCATCTCAGTCTATACAAAGATCATTGAAAATACTTCTGTTCAAGAGTTGTTGCAGGGAGTGTTGGGAGAGGGAGAGAGCAGTGAGTATTAAAGGAAAGAGATAATCCTATTCTCAAACAGTTGGTAGTATAAAAATCTGTAAATCCACATCTCTACATCTCTTGGAAAGTCTCAGGACGCCAATTTTTTTTTTCTTTCCCTCTCTCTCTGCCTCCCTCCTTCCTTCTTCTTCCCTTCCCTTCTTTCTTGTCAAATTTGAAGAAATAGCTAGTAAGTTGCTGATTTAACCATTAAAATCTTGACTGTGGAGAAACAGTAGGATCTCCAGTACTCGGTTCTACACCCCAATGATTATATACTTCATTCCCTGCATCTGAATGTCTGGGGATGCTAATCACACCTCGATGATAGCCTTAAAGACTTTTCAGACACATCTATGTAAGTTTATTCATCTAGCAAGTGAAAGAGGTCCTGAAGCATTGTCTTGCCGTTATATCCCCCAGAAGGCCCAAAAGCTGTTCTTTTTGCTCTCCTAGAAAGACCTGTCCCAATATTCCTAGTTCTTCAACTCATTAGCCGTGTGACTCCTGAGAAGTCCCTCGATACATCTCAGCACTGTAAAATGACAGGTGAAGTATGTTTATTGATAAAAGCCCTGTGATGCTAGCAATCTAATTCAGGGAATCTAGGAAGGCTGCCCCATCCCAGGTGCCTGGGACAAAGTAACTTTACACACATGCAGGCTCTTCTTCATAGTGCTCTTGTCCTTTTGCCCAAGTTTTAGTAATAGTATTATTGTGGCTGTAAATTTTAGGGTAATCCTGTTTAATCCTTTCTGCAGGTAGGAGGGGCATAAACAATACGCAAATGTGGGGAGGTGTCCAGTGGGCATGGGTAAAAGCCCTAACTTGCCCTGCAACTGGTCATTCTTTGCAGGCCCCATGGGTGGGAACACTTTCTTGACCTAGGTCCCCCTGTCTGAGCTGGTTTAGGGACAGTCTTGTCAGCAAGAGGGGGAGGGAGGAGACAACCTGGGGAGCTGGTGAGTCACCTATTTCTCAGCTAAGGATTTGCAATTCTGGCTGCCACTGCTGGGAAAGTCCCCTCCTAAGGGTGGGTTGAGTCTAATCCTGCCCACCTGACAGACTATCCCAACTTCCAGGCTGACACATATTTGCTAAGATTAAAACTTGGCCCTGACATTCTTCTTGGAGAAATGATTGCTTCGAGGACCAGGGCAGGAAATATAGAAGATGAGCCTGGAGCATTCTGTAGTACAGAAAGTAAGGAAATGCTAAACAAACAAACAGAACAACAGGAAGATGGAAGTACATCAAATGGACACAGCTGCCAACTGAATGAGCTTCCAATGGCCAAATCTGGAACAATTTGAGCAACAAAATAAAGGAGTATTGGATTATAACCCAAAGTATTAAATAAATATCCACAAGTGTATTCTGCTATAAATAAATGATTGAATACACTAAATAAGTAGGGGATAACAGACAAATCTCCCATTAGAGAATTACAAATGATGTATGCTGATACTCCACCCTCAAGAAGGAGTGTAAACCCCCATTCCTTAAATGTGCCTTGTGCATAGTGACTTCCTTCCAAAGAGGACAGTATATGAAAAAGACGGGGGGATAAAAAAGTAACTTTAAGGTGGAGAATTCTGACAAACATTCCTTCAACCAGGTGATCAAGATTAAGATCAACATCAATTAATCAAACTGATAGTCTGTACCTTTAATATGATGTGATGAGAATGGCATTTCACTTCTGTGGTCTTCCTCCCAAGAACCCCAGTCTAATGAGAAAAACATCGAAAAAGTTCCAACCAGAAGACATTCTACAAAATGCCTGCCCAGTACTCCTCAAAACTGTCAAGGTCATCAAAAGCACAAAAGTCTGAAAAACTGCCACAGTCAAGAGAAGGTTAAGGAGACAGAATGACTAAAAGTAATGCATGTCCTGGACTGGATCTTGTAACAGAAAGAGCATATTAGGCAAAAACTAAGGAATTCTGAATAAAATGCGAAATTTAGTTAATAACGTATTAATGCCAGTTCATGAATTGTGACAACCATATAGTAAGATGTTTATAATAGAGGAATCTGGGTGTAAGGTATATGGAAACTCTCAGTGCTATCATCTCAATATTTCTATAAATCTAAACTGTTCTAAAATGAAGTTTATTAAAATAAGATACTAAGACATGGCCCTGACATTGACTCATGGCAGTGATAACATTTTGTTTCCAAAATGTCCAATACAGTTGTATAGGGCCTTAACTTGTAAAAGTGCATTAGCTTGCCCTGTTTTTTTGGAACCTGAGTGAGATTGCTGGGGTGGGGTTTCGGGGTGAGGGTTAGTACACAGGGACCCAGACGAGTTATGGTACTTGCCCCAAGATTGAAGAAACTAGTAAGCACCGTCCCAGAACCAGCAATCCACAGGTTCACCCTCAGGGGTGGTCAAATTCTTAGGCACTCTGTTAATCCCTTATTTTATTTTAAATTACTGCAGACATTGGGATACCTATAGTAAGGGAGTTAACAAAACAATACCAGTTGTGAGGAGGAATTTACTCAAAGATTTCAGTGCAAAGGCTGTGAGTGAAGTGCACCTCATGTGGTCTTTCTTTCCTCACTGCAGTGCCCCCAGATCAGGCTTGCTGTTCAGTCCAAGCCCAGAGGCCCAGATGAGCAGGTCAGAAAGCTTGGAAACAAAAAAGGATGCAAGAAAAAGAATTTTATATTTAGCACTTAATTTCTTTGTCAATCATACCTCAATAAAGCCAGTAAAAACACCACTTATTTACCAACACACTAATGATAATGATACAATAATTATATTGCACACTTTCCAAGCTTTCCAGTTAATTAGGTTACCAGAGGCTTTTCTCTACTGGGTGTGCTGGTGTCCTTGGAGGGAGTTGGTGTGGCAAACTCAGTGGCCTGAGCGGAGTTGCCCTCTCGGTGCCCCTCTGGAAATGGATCTTTCTTGCTAGCCAGCCGTCTGGTCCCCACAGTCCCAACACCCCCCATCTCATCCCAAGGCTCAGTTCACCTCCTGGGCTTCTGCCCTGTCCTGCCCCCTACCCCATACTTGGCTTTAGCCTCTGCTGCTGTCCATCCCCCTGACGCCAACTGCTTCTCCCCTCTTCAAACCTTTCTCTCCTGCCTGGAGCTTGCACTCAAGCTCTGGCCAGTATTTTTTAAATGCCCTGCAGGAGTAGCCACCTAGTTCGTCTAAAGGACTCTCCTTTCATTAGCTGGGCTGCCCTCCTAACTTCCTGATTTCTGACAATAGTAGCACAATTCTTTCAAGCTAACGAACTGGAAGGAGTTGGAGCTGAAAAGTCTCCGAACCTTGTAATGCACTTGGACTTCTTCCTTTCCTCCTTCCTGTCAGCCCTTTGACACCTTTGACTCCCCTCTTTCTTTTGGCATATTTTGCCGATAATCACCTCCATACCTGCCTCCCTGTCTTCATTGTGTTCATTTCTAATGCACCCAAGATTCCTAAGTCAACAAATCTACTCTGTCACAGTCCTACAGTGAATCTGCTAGCTGCTAAACAGAGCGTCGGAGTCTCTGGCAGGCATTCCTCATTCTCCAATTAGAGAACACTCCCAAGATGGGATCAACAGCCACCGAATATGATTAAGAGAATTTTCAATGGCATGGGAAAATATTAAAAGACAGTGTGAAATGATACAGAATTTGAGTCGAAGGATTTTAAAAAATGTGCAGTTAGAATGAAAGACAGTCCTACATGAAGGACATATGCCAAAATGTGGTATGTCATAACCTCTAGGTAGGAAGGTTGTTTTGCCTGATATGTAATGAGTGATAAGCATGTTAACTCATCATCATGTTGCTTATTAGCATTTTCTCCTTTTTCTACAAGGAACATGTTGCTTTTGCACAGAAAAAAGTTACTGAAATTTTTTAAATGTCATTATTGTATATTCAGAAAAAAAGAGGAAAGGCACTAGCATGTCAACAAGGTTACCTCTGAAGGGCAGGATTATGAATAGTTTGTTTCCATTCGTTTACTCATTCCAGGAGGTTCTTTGCAAACTCACTCTGGGCCAGCACTGAGAGCTCAGTGGGGAAGATGGAGTTCTTCTGCTCCTCACCCTTGTTC